GGAATACCTCCAGGTGACAGTCAAACGAAATAGTGCTTTAAAAAATTTAGATAACGAACTCTGTAGAAATTACAACCTTTCTGATAATGATATACCCTCCTTCATGCCTGTGCCCCAAGTCTATTCAATATACTGTAAAACCTTGAATAGAAACACAATGGGCTTAATCTCGAGAAGAAGCCCATCTCGAATTAAAGCCCCCTCTTCAGTCTGCAAAAATTTCCTCGAAAAGAAGCCCATGAGCTTCATTTTAAGATAGCGTGGGCTTTTTTTTCGATGTAGTACAGTACATACACTGTACATGAATTTCAAAGCAACAAAATGAATTAAAAACATGCTTGGTTTGATGTGTCAGTAGTTTAGGTGATTTAATGCCGGTTAATATACTCCATGATACAGATTGATTTTACAGAGGCCCTATTTTTTATTGTTTTATAGTTATTCCCAAAATTCACAGCATTCGTTTTGAAAAGAAGCCCCCCCTCTTTACTTTGCAAAAGTAGCTTCGAAAAGAAGCCATTGAAAGTTTGTAAGAAAAAAGAAGCCCAGGTCTTGAGTTTAAGGTTTTATTAGTAGTAGACTTGACATGACCACTTCTAAATTTTGTTTCATGCCTCTGCCTTCCTGATTCTGTTAATGACATACCCTCTTGTTCCTTTCCTTGAGGGCATTCAGTTGAACACAGACACCTCCTTGCTTTATTGGTTCTCCTGCCTTTCTCAGTCTGAGTGCTATACAGTATCCTTCTATCTCCTAAGCCCATTCAATAATACAGTAGTCCCAGCCCTTCTTCCTTCCCCTAGTCCATTTAGTATGTCCCCTCCTTCATTTTCCAAGGCCATTCAATATATAGTAGTTCACCTGACAACCACCTTCTAATTTCCTTTGTTCACCTGCCTTTCCACAAATTATAATATTCTTTATTAACATAATGAATATTACCTGCAGTCAATATTTTGATCGTTGATTAGATTGGATTATAAATTAAATCATAAACATAAATGAATTTTGATAAGTTGGCAAAATATAATGTGTTAAGCTGGCAGATGGACGGTGTAATAAAGTGAGACAATCAATAATTTATCCAAGATTAATCTAAGTATCGTACTTTACTGTCACTTTTAAGAAATATCTTTATAAGTGCATAAACCGCTGGTTGACAGGCTGGTCAAAGGTCAATAACCGCTGGTCAAAGATCAGTGACCTTTGAATATTGGTTAAAACGTTTTTTTTTTTTTTTTGATTGATTCTATACTTTTTGGTAGTGTAATAATGAGAAGTCACATTCATCACTAGTATTGGATGTAAATTTAAAAATTGAAAATAAAAAATAAAATAAAATATGGTAATAATTTCAATGATTACATTATTTTTATGCCATGTATATATCATACATTATTTTATTTATTTAATTTAATTATAATTTAAATTGAAGTATTGATCATTACTTTATGCAAGCAGCAGTTTGTTGATGTAGGCGATAAATTTAATTGCAGTACCACAACTAATATTTCGTACACCCAACATATGTGAAATTAGCTAGATTCAATCATTACCAAGTCCCACGAGTACCCACTTACAATCCTAGCTCAAGTTACTCACATTCGCTTATCAATAATTGTAACATTCTCTGCCCAAATATGTCTGTAATATTTGAATATCAACACTATCTAATATTTCTTTCAGTATATTTAATTGTATTGTTTAACTGAAACTATTTAAAAATGCTTTAACACTGGCAATATGAATTTATTATTTAAGACAATAATTAAATATATGAAATAAGTAGATTAATATTTGACCATGATGTAATAGAATAATTTGAACATAACTACAAATAGTACTCTATTATTAATTAGTAATGATAATGTTAATAATAATAATAATGTATTTTTATCTGTAGTGGAATCCATATCATCATACATCATAGTATTTTATATAAGAGATTCTACAGTACTGTATTACCGAAACTTCATTTTTGCTGGTGTATTTTGTAATAACAAGCCGACAAAAGTTGCTTCTCAATAGAGTTCTAAATTGTTTACATTGTTTATTATTCCGGTTATTAATGATGTCAAGTTTAAAATTCATAGGAAATAATACTGATGTAGTTGTAGTTTATAAAAGGTAATATCCTATATTTATTTTGTATATATAAATATAATTACTATTGTGTCAGAAATTCTTCTGTTTATTATTTCTTTCATGTTTTGGAAATAGGCCTATTAATATATTTTGGAGAAAACTTCTTTTTCCCATCTAGAACCAAGACAGTCCAATTTAAATTAGGTGGCTCTACAAACCAAGTCAAGTACAAAAATATACAAGGCCAAGTTGGTACAGGCCTACTTTCCTGAATTAAACTACCAAGGACATGCTTTTCCCAAGTAATAATAGCATATAAGTGTTTATATCATTCTTTTCATAACATAATACAATAATACCAATAATGATATTCAGAAGCAAATAGGAAACAATATCGGTTGTGGTTGAAAGGTCAACGATATCAGGTAGATCAATCACTTCCTGCCTATGTCAATATAACTTACTTTTTCGTATCCTTTTCCTGGCCATTGTCAATATAAACCCACCACACAATACACCACTGTGACATCAGCATATGTATCATTGCATTTCATACTTTACTAGTGGATAGTGAACAATATATTTATAGTTGTATGGTCAAACCAGCTGTTTTGAGTAAGTTATCAAACTTGTTATGATTGTTTTTGGAGTTATGTATCATCATATCGAGGTAGGGATGATATTGTGTAGATTGTTCAATAGGACAGATTGTCAAAATTGTTTTCAGTTGAGTTTTATCTTTATCCATGGAAGGAGTTAATCCCTTTTACAGTTCTTGTGAATTTGTTACTTGATAGAATGATCAGTCAGTAATGATGTAACAATCAGTCAATCAATGTTTAGGCACATTGGCCAAGGATATGCCAATAGCGAATGATCACCTTTATAATCGGCAATCTCGTTGAAACAGACAAGATGCTCTTCATTAATTAAGTCTCATTATGAGGCTTAAAAGAGACGATTTTTAGAAAAAATCCTGAACCAGAACCGTAGTAATGAAAGGCAAGCATCTGATCCACAACGTACAGCTTCACTCAGACAGTCAGTTGGTCAGTCAGTCAGTCGGTCAGCCATAATATGGCAGTCAGCTAGTCAGTCGATCAATCAAATGATAAAATTTATTACTCCTACCGGTATAGATCAGAATGTAGTTGGTTGAACAAAGCGAATCTGTATATCTATTCAATCATTCATTCATTTAGTCAGTCTGGTCAATTTTTATCGTCATCGTCAATTAGTGATCTGCTATTGTAGCCAATGCCACCATTTTTTATGGTCTTGCATTTCTGCTTTCCTTAACTCTTGATATGTGCTTCCAATTTCATCAAGCAATCATTTTTAAAAGGTGCTTAAAAAAATATTAATTAAAGCCAAATTGTTATTTTTTTTTTTTTAGTTAAAGCATTTTCAGACTTCCAATATATACCAAAACACATGTTTTATCAGAGCTCCATGATCACATCAGTGCTGGATCTCAGATGGAGGGTCCAGATGGCAGTGAATGGCACTCAAGACTTAAATTTGAATGTGCTGTTCTCTTTTTCCCATTTTCCTGCCATTGTAGATGCATCATTGAAAATAATCTAGGATTGTCTGTTGAATCTCACACTCAGACAAAAATCGTAAAACTGACACACATGGCGTCAGCTGATAGTTGGCATCAGTGATTCCATGTCCACCGCAACACAATAAAGCGTGCGTAACAGATAATTTTAAACGACACATGGAACAAAGATGATTTTGTCTGTCAAAAGTCCGCTCTGCAAATGCATTGTATGCCCACCTAGGACATACAGTTACCTAACAATAATTAGGTGACTTCGACCAAAAAGGTATAAAAATTCCTAATGTACAGTATACCTGGCTACTTCCACCATATGTTATTTATTGATTGATTTCATTCTTGTTTGTCTTGCTTTCGAGAAAGAATTAATACAATAAAAGGGAAGTTACAAATTTTTTCCCTTTGAAATCCAAATAGCAATGTAATGTAAACGTAATTTATTTTAATAATAGCTTCGAGACATTAATTAACCAGGAAATATTTTCTTAATTTTTTAGATTTTACATTGCATTACTTAAAAGATTAGAATTTAAGTGTGGTAGAAATGACTTGCTTATTCTGAACATTATCATATTTCTAAAGATTTCCCAACATTCCAACGTAAGTAGCAACCAATTAGATAAGCATTAGATTTAGATTCTCTTTCCTGCGGAGCTTTGCCTAATCTGCAGAATTGCAATTTTGGCGAAAAAAAAATCAGAGGTTCAGTCTAATTATTATGCAGACATTGTATGAAAGAACGTATCGAAGTAGCAGTTACAAAAATCAACTGGTTTAGAATTGACGCTAAAAGTGGCATGGGTCACACTCCATAAACACAGGTTTGTGTATTAACCCTAGGGCAAAGGTTTTGTTCCTACCCTGACAATTCTTTCCTCTTTAAAGTACAAAGGCCTTTACAAATAGTGCCATTATTTACAAAGGTTTAGAAATAATGTAGGCTCTTATCCAATAAGATGGCTGTTCTGATAGCCTTTTATTATAATGTCAATGACTCGCTGCCACATATGCATGAGAATAGGCCAGGACCGAAATTCTGCATAACAATACATGGAGAACTATTCATACCACGCATGATGTAGTGTCAATGAAGGCTACAGAAAATAGAACACTGGTTGTTTAATACTGCTGTAATTATGAGCTAACCAACATGCTGGTATATTTCTGGCTAAGGATTCATCTTAATTCCTATGAAAGTATACTCCGATATAATTAGGAAGATAACAGGAGAAAGGTAAGTGATATACTGTTGCTTGTACTGATTGGGTCTTATGGTTTGTTATGGATTAATGGACCAATGTTGATTATAATGCTGGTGTCAGAATATTGTGTGTTCTCCGATGCGTAACGTTCTGACAGGCAGCCTTTGCAATGATGAGACCGGCTGATGATCTCATGAGGCGTGTCCATTTTGCTATGACTATGGAGCTACCTGATAGGCCAGTCGGTAGATTCTACCACGCATAATTTTTAATTTATTGAATGCATTGCGCTACATTCATTGGGGAATTAGGCAAAACAGCGTATATTTTCTTCATTTCTAGTACATTTGAAATTCCTCCTGAATTAATCATTCAGTAGGAAAGGAGTATTTATAAACTGAGATTTAATTCTTCTTGTCATTTCTGTTGCTGTAGCAGTTGTAGTAACAGACAGCTGCTATATTTAATTAGTATTAAACTTTAAATATGTTGGGTATTGGTTTTGTGAAACCAGCTCGTGTTATGAATTCAACTTCAATTGCCCAACATAAAACATCGGCAAAGCAACAGGCATCTAAAGAGATTGTTTACCAAAAATCTAGCGAGATGTCCACGGATGAAAATGCAGTTTATGGTGATAAATCTGTTGATGATGAAGTGTTGCAACGAAGACGAATTGCAAACGAGATGTTTAAGCACACCGAGGATATATATGGTACCAGATTGAAGAACGGTATTCGATTAAGTAGCAGTTCTAAAGATGAGTTTCATCACACTCGACCATGTACTGAAGACTTATATGGAACGATAAAGAATGCTAGAACCAATGCTAACAATGAGGGATTCTTAAAAAGCAGCCCGGCTCTAGATGAGTTGTATGAGAGGCAGTCAAAACCAGGCAACAACTATGATCATAACCTTGTGGAGGATATATACGCCAGTATACCGAGGCCTATACTTAGGCCCGATGATGAAATTACTGCTGAGGTAAGTAGGCTGTAAGGTTGCCTGGTGTCCAACTCACTCCTGTCTTTTAAGCTAATCAGAAATATTGGAAAAATCTACTTCTCATGAAAATACTCTGAAAGATGTCAGCATTATATGTTCTATTCAATCTCTATTTGTGTGTATAGAGTTTTTAAAGAAGCACATTATATTTTATGTTTTTTGTAAAGGAACTATCAATATCAGTAATTTTATTACTGTAGTTTTCTGTCTTCTCAAAGATTGCCTTAAGGCTAAAAAAATATCCCATCCGCTAATTTTTATAATTTTATAATCTTGATGAATAGCTTTGGATGTGTCATGAACTATCCATGCACTGATGGATATAATATGCACTAATTAGCAATTTATGCTTAATTACGTATTTTAAGTAAAATTATCATTGATAATTATTTGTTATTCCTGAATCATTCATTGTAATTTTCCATCAGTTGAGTTCGGTTTTATATTTGTTCAAAAACCTCTGAGGATGCGAGTAGTTTTACATTTCCTGCTTTCTTCCTTGTTCCTCTTTATGATTGATATCTGATATATTGCTTTTATACAAAACAGGAACAGATAAAATGATTGTAGAATATGTCTTCTATCTGTCTGGATTATATTTATCTCATTCATCTTTCTATTTTAAACCATCTTCATTCAGAATTTTATTCAGAATGCTACAAATGATGATCTTGTGTCCAATGCAAGCAAATCATCTATGCGTGTATCCATTTAGTTTTATTTGAGAACTTTTATTTTGTTCGGCCAATATAAAATACATGAATTATTAAAAAAAGAAAATTAATAAATGTTAATAATAATATTAAGGAAGTAACACAGTAACCTGAAATTGCTACAATTGAAACAACCCAAGTGCAAATATACTCAAAAATCAATTAAACTGTCGGTACTTCTGTGATGTTTTGATGGCGCTTGTGATAAAAGAGGTTCTGCCTACTGATGGAAAATGAAACTCTGTTGTCTTCCAAAATTGAATCTTCCACTTGGACACTGGGAGGGTTTTTTTGTTTTTGTTTTTTTGTTTTTTTTGGTTTTTTTTTGTTTTTATTTTGTTACTCAACCAACAGCAACTTACATGAGGGTAAACAATGAAATCAATAACAAGAAAAATAAATATGGTAAATAGAGGCTTGTACTAAATAGACAATGCAAAAGGTTTGTACAAATAACATGACTGTGAGGTTGCAAGAGAGTGGCTATTACAGTTATTATTACAGTGGCTAAATGTTTCAATGCATAATAAATGTTTAAAGGCTGTTTGTAGTGAAATTTATCATCTGCTGTGAAAGACCTTTTCAAATTTTTGTTGATTTTCTTGTTCCTCTTTATGATTGATATCTGATATATTGCTTTTATACAAAACAGGAACAGATAAAATGAATGTAGAATATGTCTTCTATCTGTCTGGATTATATTTATCTCATTCATCTTTCTATTTTAAACCATCTTCATTCAGAATTTTATTCAGAATGCTACAAATGATGATCTTGTGTCCAATGCAAGCAAATCATCTATGCGTGTATCCATTTAGTTTTATTTGAGAACTTTTATTTTGTTCGGCCAATATAAAATACATGAATTATTAAAAAAAGAAAATTAATAAATGTTAATAATAATATTAAGGAAGTAACACAGTAACCTGAAATTGCTACAATTGAAACAACCCAAGTGCAAATATACTCAAAAATCAATTAAACTGTCGGTACTTCTGTGATGTTTTGATGGCGCTTGTGATAAAAGAGGTTCTGCCTACTGATGGAAAATGAAACTCTGTTGTCTTCCAAAATTGATTACTACTTTTGGTACTTACTGTAGTTGGTTTCCTCCCGAATCTTCCACTTGGACACTGGGAGGGTTTTTTTTTTTTTGTTTTTTTTTTTTGTTTTTATTTTGTTACTCAACCAACAGCAACTTACATGAGGGTAAACAATGAAATCAATAACAAGAAAAATAAATATGGTAAATAGAGGCTTGTACTAAATAGACAATGCAAAAGGTTTGTACAAATAACATGACTGTGAGGTTGCAAGAGAGTGGCTATTACAGTTATTATTACAGTGGCTAAATGTTTCAATGCATAATAAATGTTTAAAGGCTGTTTGTAGTGAAATTTATCATCTGCTGTGAAAGACCTTTTCAAATTTTTGTTGATTTTTGGAAAAAGTAGTGTTCATATATGAGGTACATCTATGCACTGGTTATCAATATTCCTCTTTTTGCCCTCTGCAGTTTTGGTTTAAGATAAAATAGTTATGATTCTAAAAGCTTGTTTGCAGAAAGAAATGGATGGATTTTCCTGCTAAGTTCCCTTTATGAAATTGAAATAATTTCTCTGTTAGTCAATTGTAATAATTGATGAAATGGTGTTTGTTTTTGTTTATTTCATCTAGATAATTATCATGTGATATGGAGAAGATTACTTGCTTAGGCCTTAATACTAATAGTGCACATACTAAAGTGCAGTCACGATACCAGCATCCATGCATTTATTTCCCATTAAATGAAGTCATTGAATTTATTAATTTTTAATGAATTGTTGATGTATACTGCAATTGCCAGTGATACCAATTTTCTTTGAACTTTAGGATTTATTCAGTGTTCTATAAGAATTTTTAATCAATCACTAGTTTGTCTAAAAAGCTGTTTTCTCTATGATTTATGAAATTCAGTAAAATACTAATTTGTATTTCACATTTTCTATAAACATTAAACTAGATTGTATAGTAATGCAGAATTATATTCAATTTCCTTAGCTGCTTAAGCCTTAAATTGATGTTGAGAAAAATACTTTTGCTTTGAAGCCTACCAATTAGATAATTTTTGTTGTCGTATAACAGCTTACCAAAATGTTTTTGTCCTTGTTGCCATGGTAATTCATCTTAGAGAAAGCTATTAAATATTATAATTAATAATATTATACTGGTATTTAAGATTCAAGCATGACAATAAATTTCAAGAATAATATTTTCTAGCATTTCATCATTGAAGCATGCCGATATTGACCTCTGACCATCCTTGTTTAAGTTCCCTCCATCCCTTCCCATTACTTCAAGTACAGTAATTGACAGCAGTGAGGTCAACTAAAGGTCAGGTGTCACAGCAAACTTGAAACCTGATTTTTACTCTCTATCAAGCAGTTTTTCCCATTGCAAATTCAACTACAGTATTATTTATGAATATATATTTTAATCATTAGAAATAATAGGCTAAAAATATTTGCTTCATAAATACGTTGAAATATACAATATTAAAATGTTCATTAATGATAAGTACTAAGATAGATTATAACTCAATTTATAATGTTTTGTGGAATTAATATCGCATTCAATTGTCAGTCGGCATTCCTTCTAAAAAAGTCATTGCACTGTTGATGTACATTTATAACATCCATTATCAGTTATGGAACATTAAGGAATTTATTAGCCTTTTTTTGTCTAGATACATTTTATTCTTTTATTAGAATATCAAAAATAGCACTAGTCTAAGTATAGTACTAGCAGCATTAACTCTAAAATGTTTGTATTGCAAAGGTCTTATAAACAATGTAAAGTGAAAAACCTATCTGTATTATTTTTTGTGTATTTTTTTTAGACATATGAGCTTAGGATTGTCAATATCGAATACAAATAACTTTTTTTTTAACATGTGGCAATCCCTTTTACAAGACAAACATTTACATAAGGTGCTTTACACAGATTAGTTCCTGTTATGAGACATAGGAGTTGGAATTTGTTTGGTTGTGAGGAAAATCTCTAGTGTTGTGACAGGATTTGAGAAAGCAGGACCCATGGATTGTAAGACAGTCACTTTGACCACCGAGATGCATCCTCTTCACTGCCAATTCTAAGTTAGATAGAAGATCGTATATTTATAGATATATGTTTTGCGTCACTTGATAAAATGATGATGATGCTTCATTGAAGCTTAAAATGTGTCCAGAGTTGTTTTGGTTGTTAGAGAAAATCCTTGTGTTTTGATAGGATTTGAACCCAAGACCCAGGAACACATCAACCACTGCGCTACATCTCCACTCCCATATTTACTTTTAGGTAGAATGTGCTATATTAATAGATATGACTTGCGTCATCTGACAAGGATGTTAAACTGACTTCAAGGTACTGATTGCATCTGTCAGCGCACAATATAAACGTAAGCGCTTTTAAAGCCCAAAACTGCTGGTACTCTATCCTTGGCATTAATCAAGATTAATTTATCTGGATGATTGACGTAGTTTATTATCCGGATTTTATTGATATAAACGTTTATCTTTGTATTTATATCCAAAAATAAAATACTATAAATATTTGTTGGAATTTTTCTCAATGCAATTATGTAAATATAATTATTAAGTAATTTTAAGTAATAATTATTGCAGTAGCACTTGAAAAGTAATGACATATTTATTCATATGCTTAAACCTTTACCATGGCTTTCTTTGGACATTATCAACGAAGGCAGGGAAGCCATTTCTGCATTATTAATTCTGTACTGTATATTGTAGACAATCTCGTCTACTTGTTCAACTGTTTGAATATTATAACTTCAATATTACACAATCCCAGGCAGACTTCTAAACCAACCTTCCTATGGAGGAAAAAAAGTGTATACTACAAATTTTAAAATCATAATTCGGAATAAAGAATTAAAAATAGTACTGTAGGCACCAATCTGCATTCAAGCACACACACCAAAACTGCAGAATTGAGAATAATATTTTAGTAATGTATGTTAATGTAGCGTATAAAAGTAAGACCAGCATACAAGAAAATGAACATAGACCCTCAATTTATGGTTCACTTATTAAAATTTGAGATTTGCTCCTTTTTATTTTTTTGATAATTATAAATTCATAGTTTCTAAATTTTAATTGTCAGATTTTCTGTTGATGTATTTTTCCAGTAACTAGTATGGTTTGTTTATTTATGTTTATTGAGGATAATTGATTTAAATAAATTACAAATATACAGCAGTAGATGTTGACAAGTATACACTTTACAAGAATTTATCAGTTATGGCATTTTGAAATTTGAGTATCCTCCTGAGGTGGTTCAGACCATGCAGACCAATCTTAAGTTTTCAAGCCTGGTTTTGATTAGCTGATTGCCATGAATGGTTCTAACTCTGAAGGCCAGTGGGGGTGTGTCAAGCAGGTGAGCATCATTGCTTAGTTGTCATTCATCCTGCCTATGTATTGAGGCTAGAAACAACTGCTCTTTCACTCTCGATGGAATATACTGGTATTTTTATTTGTTACTAAAGTACTGATACTTATCTATAAGAAAGAAAGTAAGTACCCTTGTATTGTACCAGTACTTGTTTTAACAAAGCAGTCATGTTTTCACTTTAGGCTTAAGAGTTTAGTTTTAATTAATGATCTAAATTCATTCATTCTCTTTTATTTATGTTGCTTTTTGTGTCACAGCCTACTACTTGCTTGTATTATCCTTTGTGTATACAGTATTTTATTGTTTATATTGTTTTATATCTTTTGTCTAAACCCTACAGTGGGTATTTCTCTCTACTGGTATTCTTCAATTTGAAGTGTGAAATTATAGTGTTTCCTTATTGTCTTAAAATTTAAAATGGTGCAAGTCTAAGTCAAAACATGTTCCACTAAATACTATTTCACTTCATGGTTTGTCCTTCAACACTGCGGTTTAAATAGATAGTAACAAATTTTCTAATTGATATAGTCAAATTTTATTTACTTAATTGTAAATTTTAGAATATTTATAATAGTAATAATATTATTATAGTATACTTTAGCTAGGTGTTTATATTATTCATATGTTAAACCATGTTATTCAAGTTTATATAATATTCGTTAAATGGCAAAACCATTGAATGATGTTTGTTAACAAATATTTGTGATTTTGCCTTTCCTGAAGTACTATATTTTATAATGTCTTGAGCACGCTTTATTGTGATTACCGGTACTGTATTCTACTACTTTTATACCCGATGGTAAATAGTTCTGAAAATACATTAACAGGTAAACTATTTATAGTTTATAAGTTAATATTTGTTTATATGCATCTTAGGTAGCCAGCCATAAGCAAAGTTAGGACCTGTTTTTCCAATTTTAATAAGCCCTCTCCCACCATCCTCTACCCTATCCCAACCATTTTATTTAGGCTCAAACTTGCGATGGATGATGTAGGTTACATACCTACGTATTAGTAAGTGTTTAAATTCAATTTGAAAGCATTCTTTCCTCAACCTTAAATAGAATATAGGGAGTAAACAGGTGTTAGAGCTACCATCGTGAAATAAAGTTGAAATAAAATAAAATAAATAAAAAGTCAAAGACACAAAGCAACAACATTGGATACAAAGTGCAACATGTATTAACAACACCAAGTCCAGCGTATGCAAATGATATGCTGACTCATTGGACCTTATGTAAACAATTAATGCTTATTCAGTCAGCCCTTTACAGACTGCTCTAACCTAAGGCAGGATCTCCATACACAATCAGTTTAATTAGTGATGTATTTCCTGTTAAATGCCTGTTGAGTTAACTTATCGAAGGAGATACTGTATAATCAGGATTGACAATATTATTGGGAAGAATACTAAAAAATACAAGGAAAATTGCTGTGGTGGTTATTGTAGAAAAGAGTGCATACTGCAGTATTTTGAGCTGAACCACACTCTTGAGGTGATTTACTATATTCAAGTTGGATTGTTTATTCCACACAGTAGGGTGGCTGTTCAGAGTGAGAGAGGTCAACATATTGCCTTGGGCATTGTAGAATTGCCATTTTTTTGTGTGTACATCTTTGAAGTCAGGCTAGGTAGGTATTCTTGAAAAAAATAACGTAATACTGCTAATGCCTGGTAGATATTAATGTAACAACTATTTTAGGAAAGGTACCAAGGCTTAGAAGGAAGTAAAGGCATAGATATAGATTTATAGCTTGCCTACAATGTGTGACATTTTCAAGTACATAAAATTTGAAGCATATTCCTGATTTAGGTAAAATTTGAAAATGCTAACTTTGATTTATGCAATAACTGTTATCCTTATTTGCCTTTAACCATAATACACTTTCAATCAACAGCAATATTGTTATGGTATCATTATGTTTTTATTTTTATTATGAAAAGAACCATAAAGTTTTCAATGACAAAATGTAATCCTTTTGTAAAACTATATTAAGAAAGGACAAACAACTGTCTGCTGTACAGCGTAATATTATTTTTTATTATTTTCTTACTGGTAGTCAAAAAGAAAAATAAAAATAGAAAAAGGCACTATTAAGAATAATTCCAGTCACTGCCTGTTGTGACCATTTCCAGTGCTCAGAAACAATTGAATCCTTTATAACTGTACTACTGATATAACTATAATTAGGAAGTTGGTAAGTATACCAGTAAATTTCATGAGTAATCAAAGGTAAAGATTTGGTCAACAACAAAAAACTTGAGTGTACATATTAAGATGCCCCCTGGTGGGTACTGAAAGTAATACTGACTATGCACCGGTGTTTTTTACTAGCTTAAGACCAAACAGCCAACTCCTAGTTTGGTAATTAATTCCACACTATTGTTTTAAGAAATTGATTTTTATTTCATTATATCACTGTTTGACTGCTTTGTGGTTTTTGTGAACTCTCAGCCGAGGTACCGTACTTACAGCGGGGTTCAGTGACCCAAAAATTAATGAGGAGTAGACTGAGGCCTTATTATAAATAATTTATTTTATTATTTCAAAAGAATGGTAGGTCTGCTTAATATTTAATTGTGGGCTGTTTACTTAATATTCAGCTAATTTTTTTTCTAATCATTTATCATTATGTGTGTAAAACTTTCATCAGTTAATGGTTAAGTATAGTTTGAGAGTACAAGAGAGACCCAATATGATCTTCTGCTAGGCATGCCTCTTGGATATTGTTGCTAAGGTGTGGGACTGTAAACAGTATCAATGTACGTAAGCTTGTGTGTTTGTGGGACATATGTGTATTCCTGTCTGTTAAAATAACATTCTAATTGGTCATTTTTGTTGAGTTTCTGCACTCAGTAAAGGTTCATTCGAAGATGTGAAGATCATTTTCGCATGGTTTTTCTCAGAGTTTCTACTATTTTTACACATTTTTAGATTTTATGTAAATTTTCAAGAAATAGTTCAATCACAAATATATAATGTAGTTAGTAGTTCCCAAAATAATTATAAACTGATAATGATATGATTGATTGACAGACTTTGAAAACCCCATTTCGAAAGTGAAAATTAATCTGTTTATGACTTTATTTTTAATAGCAGATTTTGTGTAAAGTGACACCATAGATTACGTTTTGCTCACTTAGGGCTTTCCTGACTTTCACTAGTATGTTGTTACAAGATATTACTTTGTACCAAGGTGTTATTGTTTAAACAACAGCTTATTACTCCTCGCACATGTCTGCATCTAACTTCCAAAGAAAAATTAACACCTTTTGCGATTATAAGATTAAGAATTATTGAGATCTAAGCAGATGTCGTTGATCACCTGCATGTTGGCGGCTTAATTTCCTTAAATTGAATTTATAAATTTAACAGAACAAATCTTGTTTATTTCATGACTGCTTATTGGTGAATAAAAACATAACTGTTACATTTAATTAAAATATAATGTCTATTGTCCGACTACTACTAGGATTTATTTAACATAATAATGTGATATGTGAAATCTATTTTTAACATAGAATCTGATTTTTTACACCAGAAACAGAAATCTTGATGGCTGTATTTAAAAGGGATTAATTTTATTGTGAGTCATTTGCATATTCTTTTTAGCATAAGTGTTTAAGTATTAAAGTAAATAAGCACGCTTGTGGCCGTGAGTGGTTGTTTTGTCCCGTGCAGTAGACAACAAAAGCCGTATTGAAACCACTAGTTGTGCTCGCCCATGCTAGTTGAAAATCCGATCAGCTCTGCCTCAGAGAGCAATGCGCCAAGACGTGTTGATGCATTTACGTTTGTGCGTTCATCCGTGCTGGAATCGCGGGTGAGTTGCATACGAAACACGCAGATGGAGCATTTGAACATGTGCAGCGGATGTTGAAGGAGACAGCACGGCCCATCGTGGATTACATACAGTAGTCGACGCACGTTACACGCACGTTACAGATTGATTATCTATCTACCGTATAGAAGCACATGCCTAGTATACAATACCAGCAGTGCAAGTTTAGTGTATGATGCTTATGTGATGATATTTGTTCTGCCAAAGTGTTTATGATTGAATGGGAATATCATGTTTGACAAGATTTTACCGGTACGATAATGTAGCATTGGTGCTATGTTAATGTTTTTAGTTGTAAAACCATTTTACAACTTGCAACTTTTTTTCAAATTTGTAATATTTTCACAATTAACAGTAACAAATTGTTTTTTGTGGGGTTTTTGTTTTTATATTTGTAGAAATGATTAGATTAATGTTGTAAGATACAGAGAATACCTTTCTGCAGTTTGTTGAAGACAGTGGTTGCTAGTTTCAAATGTCTTTTGGTATTTATTAACACACTGTACATACTCTCATTTTGTTTGTAATTCTGTTTTGATTTTGTTTTATTCTTTAAGGATTTATTTCTGCTTTATTTGTTAAGAAGTTGATATATCTCAGAAGAAATCAATTATTTTATAATATTATTTTATAAATTTAATGGTCATGGACATCATTATAATGATGTATTATTTTTTAGCTTGTTTCTCATGATTTTCATTTTTTTTATCATTATGTAGGTTCCGCAAGGCATAGACATGTCGTACCAGGACTTACAACAAATGGCCAATCGGCAACAGCAACAGATTGAAAGCCAGCAACAAGCACTAGCAGCTAAACAACAAAGGTTAAAATTTCTCAAACAACAGGAAAAGAAACATCAGGTAAGAAAACATGATGTTTCCTGTCAAATTCATCATCTTCTTTATTACTGTCTATATATGGTAGTTATTGTTTTTACTAGAATCTACTCACACAGTGGTGGTGGTTGGTGTGTACTGTATACACATTTTTAAAAATATCTCCTCTTTGTGCAATGGCCTGGAACCAACAACGACCAAATTAGGCCCAATAAAAAAAATTATTAGTTTATCACCCTCTCACGCATGTCTTCCGTGGTACTGAAAAAAACAATTTTTAAGAAATTAAGTAGTTAGTACTGTAGATATTGATATCTCAATCATGTTTTACTTTGAATATCAATGCACTAGCAAACAACCCAAGGGTGATATTTGGCTTTAGCAAAATAAAATAATTTGAAAAAAGCCTCCCTCCCTCATCACTTTTGTGCCCTAGATAAACTAATTATATTTTTTATAGGGCCTTATCTCTTTCTATATAGATTGCCCTCAAATTAAAGACCACCTTAGAGACCTAAAATTATCAGGGGGTCTCAGGATTCGATCTCCTACTAGATGGTTAGCTTAGTGTTAACAGATTGATGATTGTTAGCTGGTACTTTAAAAAAACTGGTGGTCATAGATTTAAAAGTATCTTTGAATTAGAAGCATGTCGAATTGGATAGCGAAGTTTACCTTGTGAACTCCATGGAAGTTGCTATTTAATAAATGAAATATATTATTATGAGAATTACTACATAGCAATTACCTAGACAAGGGCAATGGTGGCTTTTAAGCACAGTAATTAGTATTAAAAAAAACTCTAGGCTTACTGGTTAGTTATTAAGTAGTCAAGTACTAAAGTCATCTTTTGTCTACATCTAATGCATCTTGATGGCGCGTGTATAATGTCAAATACAATCAATTACTGATCTTGCAGTACATGAGCAGCGTAGTCGTTTCTATTATCAACTATTACAACTGATATTTTCCATTAATATCTGTCTGATGTCGGAATACTTTTAGCAATCCACTTACTAGTATTCTTTCTTCTGTTTATTCAATTTCTACCTGCTGTTTCCTGTAGTCTTCTTCACTTGCTTATAGTGTTAGTAAGTTTTTAAGCTGTCATCAGTTGTTAGATTGTTTAGATGCTTTTTATGGTTTATATGCTTAGTTTATTTTCTGTCATTGATTGTTCTGGACATACCTTCCATTAAGAAGTGTGCCACTGATGAAATTCCAAATAAATTATTATATCAGTCTACAGCTGTTATGTCAGTACAGTACTCATTACTTCATTATAATTTTGTGATTTTTAAAAAAAGCGAGATTAAAGTTACGGTAGCTTTTTTTTAAGAGTGTGCCTATAGTGTATAATACAGTACTTACTACTATTGCAGGTTTGTTAGTCTATTGGTAGGATCTACTAATAGGCCTACTTGTTTTATTTTACTTTATTATTACATTTTAGTGTGAATGTAGTCCACTTTTTATCTCTTGTCTACATATTATTATTATGTCATCTGTAATTGATAGTTTGTTGGGCCAATTTCTATAAATTGCATTGGTATTACATTTTGCAAAGTTGACACAGTTATCTGTCAATCAGTTAATCAAGTAATATGCATAATATGCATGCATTGTTTGAATTGGATTGTCATCAGACAATAGGAATTCCAGTTGTGTCCTATGTTGAGCCACGGAATCATATCTAAAAATAGTTATTGATCAGTCTAAAAATAATCAAAACTCATTAAATGGTACAAGTGATTTGAATAGAAGACAAAACTACATAAATAATTCACTATAGTATATTTCATCTAGTTACTTCTTCTTAAAACATCATTGCCCCTCCCTAAATGCATCCTCCCTGATTGGTTTGGGTTGTTCATCTCCTCATAATACACCCACCCTGATTGGTTAGTCATCAGCTGATCTACCAGACCATTATTCTAGGTGTGGAAGTTATTACTCATTGTCAATGGATCGCTGATAATCTATGTAATACATCATTGTTGTTATAAAAATGAAATTTCAATTTTGACTCAAAGCATACTCTAACTTCATTGACCTGATGAATCATGCCTTAATCCTAGCCGTCTCGTTTATTCCCATTTCCTCTGCGATAGAGGATAGTGTTTGTAACATTATACTCACGATGTATCTCAAAATGCTGAGATTCTTAATTAAATGCCATAAATCTAGAGTATGCACTCTTTTTTGTATATCAGATACTTAATGGACAGCTTACAAATTTTAAGCCCTATAATCAACTATTGCTAATACTTTGTCTACAATAACAAACTAATCAATCTCAAAAGGCCTTTGAATTGGTCTGGTAACCCTTTGATGACATTAAAAACATACAGATCATACTGTAGTCAAAGTAGGATTTTTTTTTATTGTGTTCTGGATAAAAATTGAATTTATATTTAGATTATTGCTAAGAAATTTTAAAAATATTCATTCCAATTTAATAACATACTATTCAGATAATTACACTCTAGTGGTAAAAAAGGAAATACCCAAATTAAGTAAAATAACATAAATAATAAGAAAGAATTATCAAATTTTCAAACTCATCAATATAAAATTATGTTTAATTAATGCTTAATACTCAGCAGTGTTAATGTATTAATACAGAAAATTGTGCAAATTGTTTTGTACGACATAAATATGGGATTAATCAATTAAAGAAAAAATCAATTAATATTTTAAAATTCTATTCATTGTTTTTTTTAAATATGGGATGAGAATGACTAATGGTGTTGTGTTTGTGGATATTTTACATGTGGTTTGTTTGTGTTGGCTGTCCGGTATAATTTTCACAGTGTGTTTTGTGGGAATATTATTTGTGCACCATACTAAAGTGTGATTTTGTGTGTGAAAAAATATTGATAAAACAATCAGTGCATAAAATAGTTGTGTGGCGTTTGTACGGTTCAATGATTTTTATCTCGCAGATGTGGGTTTTCTTAAGCTTAACATCCTAAATGGTGTATATTGTAAAATAGTAATTTTATTGGAAAAGATATTTTAGCATTGAGAGTTATTTAACAATATACTGTACACCATAATGGCGGTTATTATTTAATTTTAATGTCTTGAAAGCTCTGAATTTGTTTTCTGAATAGAGGTGAGTCGCCTTGTTCCCTGATGATGAAAGTGAGACAATGGGTGAAGGGCATTTGTGGCTAATGAGGAATTTTACTCTGGTGGTATATTATTGAGCTATAAAATACCTTAACAGGGATACTTTTGTTTAAAAAACAAGACTTTCTTTTATTGCAACTTGTGTTTATCAATGGAGTAATATGGTATTCATGTTTTTTTTTACATTCCAAAGCAAAAATTTTAATTAAATAAACTGCCTAGTTTAGTCGTCATATGGATTTAAGTACAGACTTGGAGATTAGTGTTTATATTAAAAAAGAAAGCATACTACTGTTGTAAGGTTTTTGAAAGTAATGCTACAGCAAATAAGTCTCTGTAGTTTCAATTAGGTAATTGTACAGGATAACTTACAGCGTCTTGTATTTTCTGTGTATTTGTCACTTACCTGACAAAGTATTACTGCAGTAGCAAAAACACATAGGACTATATTTTAATGTGGTTCATAAAATTCTACAAAAATTTACTTTAATTTATGACTATTACTACATATTCCTATGTTAGTAATACTCAGAGCTACTTTATATTAGTATAATATAATGCATGGAAATTCTTTTAACTTGACATTAAAATATGAGTTCTAAAAAATATGAGAATATAGTTTTTTGTGTAAAAATGTTGGGTTCTTTGTGATTGCACCTAATATTACTATCCTACACTCTGTTTGAAATGTTTATTGTACAGGTGAATTGAGTTCAGAAAAATGGACGTTAATCTCAAAATTATTTGAGATTTGTCTACAAACGAGGAAATAACCGTCACATTGCAGACAATTTGTCTATAGAACTATGCCTTGGCTGTAACCCAGACCTTGTTTTTATCATACATAATTTGTATTCTTTTTTTTGTGATTTATATTACTGTAAATAAAAAAAATATTGTATTTAATTTTTCTATTTAATAATATGTAAGTTTTTTTTCAAATTGTTGTAGTGGTACTAACCTACTTTAAAAAACAACTGTTTCAGACTGAAAGTGCTGTATACAGTAGTAAAAAGATGTAATAAATTAATAATTCATCTTTCTTTATTTTAGCATGTTAGCTCAGAAAATGACCGTATGCGCAAACTACGAGAACGGACAGAGATGCAGGAGCAGAAAATCCGCAAACTTCACGCACTGCGAGGTCAAGTTGAGACGACGAAAACAACTAATAATAATTTATGTAAGTCAAAAACCTTGCTTTCATAATATAGATTTAAATCTGAGTCGCCAACAATTTCTTTCCATCAGAATCAATAAAAAATGCTGTTATAGCTGAGTTATTAATCAATTCAAGCATTTTCATAGCATTTAAACAATATTAGATCCTTATATTTGCTCTAAATTTATTTACAATTTCAATTTAGTCAAAAAGCCCAATAACAGTGAAATAAAACATTATGCATGAAAACTATAAGACATTTACATCCAAAACTTATTAATCAACAAGGAAAAAAATCAAAACAATTATTTTTTGAGTATTGCAAGTTTATTCGACTGCATTCTATTTCCCCTTCATATAATTTTATTATTTATAAGTTTATTTATATACTGCCTTTCTTTTGATATGTGAAGCTCTACTTTTCCAGGTCATTGGGTCAACATTGTGTATTCTTCAGTTTTAATTCCTAATTCCTACTGTACCATGTACATTTTTCGGTTAAGACACTGGGGATATCCTTAATAATTCATACCAAATAAGGGTCCCTAGAGCAGTAAAAAGTACTTCGCTGAGAAATCTCATCGTCAACTAGTGAGGTTTATTTATTTTCTTCCTCCATGACCCAATGTAGTACTGTAGAACTTCAAAGTCATTAATAATTTATTAATACAGGGTTAAACAGTAAAATGAAAGCTATAAAATGTTAAAAGAATCATTTAAATGTGACATTTCGTTATGAAGTTACAAGAGTTTAAAAATACAGCCATTTAAAGAACAATATTTGAGAAATTAGCCTTTAAAGTTTATGATTTTGGTCATTATCTCTGAAACAGGATTTGCGACGAGTGGCTGGTTTGGATTCTCTTTGCCACATATTCAATATGTAAATATAATCTTAAGTCAAAGTACGTTAAAGATACATATTTATGGCTATAATATTTGATACATCAAATAGTGAATAACATATTTGTTTGTAAACAGTTACATTAAGATACTTTTTTAGGTGGTACAATGGTGGGCCTATACTCTAAATCACTGCAATAAGCAGGATACTATAATACTGACTTTACCTTCAATAAAAATCAAAAGCCACTGAATATCATCATTGAAAATAACAACTCTATTCAACAATATGTACAACATTATTACTTGCCACTAACATAATAATAGTGCAGCTCAGGTTATTGGGGTATTTAATGACGATACAGCAAAATTTGATTACGTATTTTATCAGCTGTTTACGTGTTCTGCCAATTTCATTATCGGTTCATGCTTTTAAAAGACATTGAGTTTTAAATCACATGCACAATGACGTGCTTAGATGACGTATTCTTTTTGTTTTTTTTAGATGTTTTTTTGTTAGGATAGTTAAGTTTATTGTGCTGTTAACTTTTATTGCTTTTTTTTCGTTTTCTGTGTATTCTCTTAAATTTTTTTCCTGATTTTTTTTTTTCCATGTTTTGTTAGGTTAGTTAAAGTAGTTAATTGTTATTTCTTTGCTTTTCTATGTGTAGTTCACAGTCCTACAGGTGTAATATACTTTTGGTTGAATGCGCTTTGCCATGTTTCAATAAAGTTACTATTTATTATTACTCATTTTAAGATTAAAGGATTAACACATGTATACTAACTGTACTTTACAGTACACAGTGGTGGATATTCTCTTCATACAAATTTTAACGATTGCAATGGACTGTTCAGCTCAGACCTATGCATTGCATATTGTTGCAAAGGCCTCGCAAAACGCACAGCCCTATTATTAAGCATACAGTCGTAAACAGGTGCATATATTTCTGGCACCACCTATTGAATGGCATGTTCTGATTGGTCAATTGTATAGTTTGATCGGCACCTTGGAAAATTCCATTTTAGCTGGATACCCCAGTGCTTTTATTTTTTGTTTATTTTTGTTTTTATTTTATTTCAATTTTATTTTTTATTTCAGCCTCGGAGCTGGAAGAGGTACGTTCCCTGTTTGCCGAGAAAGAGAAAGAGCTTGCTCTTGCAGTTTCTAAAGTTGAAGATTTGACGAGGCAGTTGGAGGATATGCGTACCGGGAACATTAACGTCATCAATGGTAATAGTAGCAATCCTTTGCAATCAGTGGAATTGGACCGTCTGAGGAAGGATCTTCTGGTACGTTGTACATTTTGTCTTATAAAACTTTTATTATGTGATTACGATTATAGATAGAAATTATGAGAACAAATGATTGATTATTTTAATTGGTTGATTAATAAAGAAAATGCAAAAGAACAATTGATGATAATAAGAAAAATATGATGATAAAGAGAACAATTTCAATTTGTATGATTTTTTAGTAATGCAGGAATTCATACAGTGCCTTTTGCCAAGGGATGCAGGGCACAAAATAATATTAATAATTAAAAGTCATACGATGATATAGAATTAAAATGTCTAGTACCATTATGATATATATTGACAAATCTTTAGTTATTTTTATCTTGAAATTATGATTGAAATAAAATGAACATGCTTTGTTGTGATTGATAAAATAGGAATTCTGTGCATCTTTATTTTGGTTATCTCTACAAAGATTTCTATCTGAATGTGTTTATATTGTTATGTACATACTTGAATTGAGGCTCAATATACTTATCTTATGTACATTGCTTTGAGAGGGAATTGTTCTTTCTTCACACTAATGGAGATTGAAATAAAACCAATACCATTACTTTGGTAACTATTGTGATAGTACTGTGCAATATAAGAATAAATTACTCTATCTAGATTTACAACATGAACTATTCTTCTAAATCAATTAATTCTTATGAAAATTAGGTGGTTTATTGAATTGGTTTCTCAGTGAGTGTTGGATTTAAGAAGCCCACGATACCTATCTCTGTAATACCTACATCTTTGTAATACCCCCTGTGATTTGCCAATTTAACTGAAACCCCTCTAATTTAATAATGTGATCCAATTAATTTTTATGTTAGATCTCCCTGTGTAGAAACTAGAGTTGTTTGCTAGAACCAAACAAAGCAGGTTGCTGAAAAGGTAGATCACTGTTAATGGGCCATAAACATACAATAAATCAGAACCATAAGCCATAATGACTCCTTTCTGAATCTCTTTTGACATTCAATCAAATATATAAATGTCTTCATTGTGTGTTATGTTGACTATAAATTTTACCTCTAAGTAACTAGATGTCTATATGACCTAATTTAAGTAATGAACATCTAATTTTTTTAAATATGATTAGCTTCTCAAATGAGCATAGTTATTGTAGGTTAACTGTGATATTTACCCTTGTGTTTTATATTATTGATACTTAAGTTTTCATTAAATTTTGTAAAATGTTATTTTATTTTTTAACCTTGCAGTTACGGAATAAACTTAATGAGGAACAGAGCACCAAGGTAGAACATCAAAAGAGCTATGTGCGATCCCGAAAAGAGGAAATGGCGGTAGTTGACAAGCGCATCGCAGAGTTAACTGAAAGGTTGCGCAAGAAACGAGGCATGCAACAGTCAATTAGTCCATATTCTACTAACAACAACAACATTAGAACTCTACCAAATGGGTTACCAACCACTAACGGTATGTACCATACCAATGGAATTAGTCAAAACTACCTCAATGGTAGGAAGCCAAACGGCTCAGATACACGAGGATACCCATCACAAAATGGCCAATATTACCAACAGCAAAAACATTATCAAATGATGAATGGAAGAGCTCCTGTTGGTCAACCATACTATGGTCAAGGTTCTCCACATTCAGGATCTGCTAATGCATCACCGGCTGAAAGTCCCATATCTCAAAGTTCTCCCTTTCCAAACCAATCAGCTGTTCCTGGTGTCAGAGGTCAACCAGAAGGTGTGAATGAAAACAGCGGGAGTGATACATCATCACTTACCGAAAATTCTAGTATAGACAGTGCTAGTGGCTTAGGCCTGACCAGTCTGCCGAACCGTGCAAAGACCACTGAAGCAAGGACTGATGTACCACAAGGCGAGTACAAAAATCGGCAAGAGGCGGATGGGCGTCCATTGCGCACTCTACCTGGATCAAACTTACCCCCTGCCGCGAGAACAAGTCCGACTGAGAGAGGAAACACAGCTCCAAATAGGAAACCGAAACCTCCACCGATTGCCGCTAAGCCTAGTATAGACCAAAAGAAGCAGGCCCCCAAAGTACCTCAAAAGAGCCCAAGTACCAAGCTGACTTATGATCCTAAGGCTGCTAAATCACAAAATAACAAGCCAGCAATTTCAGGACCAGTGAAACCAACTGTACCATATAGCCAAATGCAAGGTTCATCAAAACAAGAAAATACTGTAGTATATTCACAAGGTGGTAAACCCCCATCTCCATCAGTCAAACATAGGCAAAATGTAGCTTATCCCCAAGTCAGTTCTTCACACCAAACTGTACCAATGAGCTCCAGTAGTTACTACAACTCTAGGCCAGCAAGTCAGTCTGGTTCACCATTCTACACTGAAGCCAATACAGCTGTCGATGGTCACAGAATAACTGCCATTCACAAACGAACTGATGCCACAGTGGGTGTTGGTGTATATCCTGCTCCTCCAGAATTCCAAGACAATAACGCTGATTATGATCAACCCCCTGTAGATAATCAAGGTCGCCAACTACCACTCCAGGGAAGAAACATGTTCCCCCACCAAGGTTATTACCACCCTTACCCAGGAACATTAGAAGAGCGTGAGGAGATCTCCGATGATAGTGATGCTCCTCATGCTTACCCTGGAGGGATGAACTACAATGCTGGACCTGTTCACAGCAGGGTAGAATTGGAAAAACTGCACATGATGCCGCGACCACTCAAGAAGAGGTTCTCGTATTCAGAGGATAAGGAGTCCTACCCATTTCTTAACAAGTATTCTAATACATTTTACCAACCAGAAAGTCAACCGGCTGTTGCCTTCGATAACAGCAACCCTGCAGATGCCCTAAGGAAGATTATGCTGAATCAAGGAGTCTCTAGACAAGAGTTGGAATCTATGAAAAAGAATGCAGACTCTAGTAAGTTTTCCACAGCACCACAGCCCTCTCAACCTCTACCAGCAGACTCAAATGCTGGTGTTCCAGACAGAACCAAACCAGTTGCAACCAGTAACTTTAAAGAGACATCATTGAATGATGTCAAACCTGCTACTAAGCCACCTTCACCAAAACCAGTTGAAAAGAAAGAGAACAACAAGCCATACACACCTGCATTTTCTCAGTCAGCCAACTCAAATGGTTTTGAGGCTCTCAAGAAGTTCCCCACTAAAAGCAATGTGATTAAGAAAGGCTACTTGAAGAAGCTACAGAGAGTTCGTTTTGATCCGTTGGCATTACTACTGGATGCATCACTGGAAGGAGAATACGATCTTGTCAGACGCATCATGCCTGATGTAAGTATACTGTTTTAATTTTTAAATTTTATCAATGTAATTCAATATATAATAGGCACTAATCTGAAAGAAAGGTCTCAAGTAGCACTTAATAAAGACTTGTAAAAGTTATACTTTTAAATGCTGATGCTCTGTCCAGATTACCAAATATTTTTTGACAAACAACTGTTGTATAACCATATATAGTCATGATGTGGTCATGATATGATGTCATCATAGCCTGGAGCCGCAGTGCCAGCGAGGGATCCAGCAATTATTTCATTGTCAAAGACTGCTTTGAAAGAGTATATTTACAGTCTGAACGTGCATGGACCCTCTGTCGAGATCTTAGATCTCTAGTTGGGGAATCTCTGGTGCCACTACTTCGTGTACCACTATTCTTTTCTCCTTCCAATCCTTTATTATATTACAACAGGTAATGAATGTTTCTTTGAAATTGGTTATTTTAGGTACCAAATCCAAGTGCAGCAAATGATGAAGGAATCACAGCGGTGCATAATGCGATCTGCGCTGGTCATTTTGAGATTGTCAACTTCCTGCTGGACTGGGGCTGCGATGTCAATGCAGCTGACAGTGATGGATGGTTGGTATTTTTAAACAAATTTTAAAGTGGTACTTGCTACACATTCATAAGATTTTATTCTTGTATACCTGTTTAAAATGGAAAAATCCAGAGTTTTTACAATTGCAATAATGGCATGCATACATTAAGATTGTTTGTTAACCAGTACTGTAAATTGTACATGTAGAATCTTATGAATTTGTATGTCTGTCACATGAAAATGTGGATATATCACATGGACATGCAAGTCTCTCACATAAACATGTGGGTCTATCCTAATATCCTATCAGAATTACATGTGTGTCTATGACAGTTCTTGGGTCTGTCACATGAACATTTTAGTTTATCACAAGAACATACAGGTCTATCACATGAACACCTTAGTCTATCACATGAACATTTGAGTTTATCATATGAATACCTTGGTCTATCACATGAACATTTGAGTTTATCACATGAACATGCAAGTCTATGACGTGAACATTTGAGTTTATCACATGAACATTTGATTTTATCACATAAACACTTCCTAATCTATTTACATAATTATACTAATAAACACATGACAATATCATTTAAATATTGTCATCAATTATACACAAAAACATAAACGCACTTTAAATGTTTAATACTGATTATTTGTAGGACACCGTTACATTGTGCGGCTTCATGCAACAGCCGTGAAATGGTTCAACTGTTAGTAGAGAAAGGTGCGAGTATATTTGCCACTACCATTAGTGATAAAGAAACTGCAGCTCAAAAGTGTGAAGAAGGTGAGGATGGGTATCTGGACTGCTCACAATATTTATATGGTAAGTTTCAAAATTATGTTTCACCATGAAAAAAATCTTTTTTCTCAATCCTGTTTTTCAAAGAATTCCACTGATGAATAACTAATTTGTTATTGCACTATTTGAAAATAGTTAAAGAACAAAAAGATATAGCCCTTTTCTCACACCTACCCCTCCCCCTCCCCCATTAATGATATTTTCTTTTCAGGGATTTATAGAGGTGTTAAATGCTTAGCCTGTCTACTTGTAATCAATTACTGATTTGAAAGTTTTTCTAACTGCAGAGATTACTTATTTCAAAGTGGGTGTTATTTTGTTGAGATGTAAAACTGAGTGTTCTTAAAAATGTAATAGAAGTGTTCTCTTAAATTGTAATTAAAAGTGCATTAAAAATAAAAGTGCTGTCATAAATTGTGGTAAAACAAGCAATTTTACGACTTTATTTTTATCTGTTTTAGGTGTTCAGAATGATCTTGGAGAAATTAATAGTACAATAAGTTTTGCAGTTTACGACTATGAAGCAACAGGCAGTGATGAGTTAAGTTTCGAAAGCGGGGATGAATTCCATATTATTAGACGAGGTGATGCTGATGAATCAGAATGGTGGTGGGCTAGGAAACTGAGCAGCAACTCCGAGGGCTACGTGCCAAGAAATTTCTTAGGGGTAAGATTCATTTTGTCTCATATTTGTTTTACTTACTTTAAGTTTGCATTTTAGTGACCAACTGACCAATTAAGATGATCCTTTATACTAAAAAGTACTCTAATGCACTCATAAAATAGTACTCATTAAAGATAGACAAGTTTTGTAATTACAAAAAACCTGTTCTGACAATCAAATTTTATTTGAAAAAAAACAAAAAAAACATGCAACATACCTAAATATGGTCATGATACCATCACATCATGATCATATATGGGGCTTGCCATGCCTAAACCAGCAGAAGTGGCTAAAACAACAACATTATTAGCTTTAAAATGATGGGTAATTTACTGGAATCGACTTACTATTGCCAAAGTTATGAGTAAAAGTATTACGGCTTTTCCGTACTATATTATACTATATAGTGCCACATTCTTATGCTAATTACTCAGTTCAACCTTTAGCAACAGTCCACTGGTTTTGGGATGGCAAGCCTCATATAGGCACATCATGACTATATATGGGTACATCATGACTATATATGGGCATACCATTTTTTTGTCCAAGATAATTTGATAATCTAGACTGAGCTTAAATTATTATTTCATTTTAATATACAGTAGTTCATAGAGAAAATAGAACACAGTTCAATAAAGTATTTCATTGTTAATATGTTTTAATATATTTTGCTATTTATTTTTTAGATGTATCCAAGAGTAATGCCAAATGAGAATGAGCTAATTACTCGTGGCTAGGATCTTGAATGTTCTCCATTGGAAACTTCTATGCAAAATGGAAATTGGGAATGAGATGGAACTTAATGGGTATTGGAAATGAGATAGAATATATTGACACTGGGAATGAGATGGAACTTAATTGACACTGGGAGTGAGATGGAAATGATAAAAAAAACGGAGCAAGCATCAAGATTTTCTCACAGGAATTACTATTACAATAATGCCACCTTGATAAAGATGCCTTTACTTAGTGATAATTAATTTGGGTACTTAGCTTCTATTCACAATGAAAATTACAGGTGTTAGCAAATACTTGCTTGTTGGTTGCTAATTTTATCATTTTTAGCATTAAAATCTCAGCACCTATATTGTTAAGCTTAAAATGATTAACTTTGCAAAGTAATTGATTTAATCTATATAATATAGTCAAATTGCTTACAGAAGAATATAAATTGTTTTAATATTGATTATATTATTATTGATGCTAAGAGTATCTATGGTTAATTGAGCATAACAATGTAATTGTACAGCCAGTCTCTCTACAGTAAACTATACAAGAGAATATAGCCCTACTACATATTGTAATAAAATATTAGTACAGATCTAGCTCCCTCTACAGTTCATTTGCAAAGCAATAGATAGGATAAAATATATCAAGATTGGGCTTAGTTATATATTCTATAACCAGCTGGTTGTTATAGCAATAGGCCTACATTAGATGATAGCCATAAATGTAGTTTTAATTACTTTATTTCTTCCATTATGTAAATTACAAAGGATAATCTGTACTAACTACCATTGTCATTGTTAATAAATAAAATTTTGAGTGATTAAAGTTCCCTTTAAATGAAGAATGATATAATTTAAATATTTCCAATGAAATAAAACAATATTAAGATATAAATGATAGTTACCGGTAGTTTGTTTTCATTTTCTTTCCTACAAATTATAAATGAATTACCGAATGTACAAATAAGGAAGTATGTTAGGTCACATTATATTAAATAATCTATTTCACAGATGATAATTTTATTCTAACACAATATATTAGCTTTACGATATAATTCACCAAATATTGAGTGCAACAAATGTATATTTTACGGTTCAGGTTTCGAGAAGGCTTTGTTATACAAGTCTTAGATATATGGTATAGAGGAGAAAAGAGTAAAAGAAAGAATATAATACAAGAAAGCAGAAGTTCCTTGCACCTTGATTAAATGGAGGATATGATTTAAAATAAATACAGTATATGTAATGATTTTTTTGTTTTTATGGACATATTATTTTCATAATCAATTATCAGTTTCTGTCAGTATATTATATTACTGACTAATATTATCTAGTATTGTTAAAGGCTTACCTACCTTACCTGTATATTATAATTTTCCTTTAAACAGATAACATATAATTTGTATGTTTTTACACTTGGGACCTATATGGCAGAAGACCCCAGTATACACCAATGTGTAGAAATATGGCTTGTGTAGAAACCTCTATATTTTTGCATTTGTGGTGCTGTTAATGCTTAAATTTTGGTAGGAATGCAGCAGCACAGGCAGTCTAATGTGTTTAAAATTAGAATTATTTCTACCGTTTTATTTCGTTTTTCTTTTTGTGTTTGTTTATAAAGATGACTACCAGATGGTGGATAATTGTTTGCATAACTGTTAAAAAGAAGTAGATTCCAATTGTAGTGTAAACAATGATGTATTAATATGTAGTTGATTATAGTGTTTTTATTAAATGCATTATATGTAGACTAAATTCATGAGTTGTTTTCTGTCTTGTTAGTGGTGGATTTTTATAGACAAAAATAAAGGGATGAATGAATAAATGGATGGGACGGATGAATGAGATGGGATAAGTGGTGGCTCTAATGGGGGCTGGGAGACAGTACCCCATCTGACGGATCCCCTTTTGAGTGGTTCTGGGCTGCTTTGTTCTGCTATTCTTCCCTGCTCTCAGATAAGTGAAATCAGCCTTTCTATCGGGGACATCAGACTCCCCATTGGGCAAATCCTGGCACCCCCACTGGATAGGGTTTGTTAGATGAATAAATGAATGATTTGAATGGGGTGGGATTTGATGTTGATGCAGCATGAATGAATGGTGTAGCACTTTCTTAGCAAATTCTTTTTGGGCAATTCATCTTGTGTGTAGGTATGAAGAGCATTCAGATTCGTAGACTCCTTTCACTGAACCAACCAGTTTAATAGAGGGATTTAGCGACGATTGTTTACAGGCGGTCACATGATCTGATTTGGGTATACATGAGAAACATTACACTGCGATAGCATAGGAAAAGATAATGTTATGGTTGCAAAAACAACCACCCACTGTTAGCGCGAGAAGTTAATGGCTAGGAGAGGCAATACGATTGTTCAACATAGTGTTTATTAACTTATCCTAGTGTTCTCCTTGGATTGTATGCTTTGAAATTTAAGTGATCCTTCATAAACCTTAGCTGGCCCTAACATTGCAGCGTAGTTCGCAGGTCAAAGACCATCATGCATACCTAACCATGCCGTAGATGTGCAGGGGCCTAGGCCTAACATTTGTCGAAAAATTTAAATGTTTGCGGTCAGTATCCTTTAAAGCATTAGCAAACCATTAAGGTAAAATTCTTAAGTTTAATTTCCAATCAATTTGGTATATTTTACTGGGAATTATGATGATCTTTACAGCAATAAACAAGGGATGGCCGCGATAGAAATCTCCATGTATAATACCGCTGTGTCAGTGGATTTTTTATATCCAACACCTAAGTTAGGTCATGTGACACCCATCGCTAAATCCCTCTGTTAAGGCCAACCTATTGAGTACACAGCTGTATCGAATACAGAGAAGATAACAAGACACGATATCATCTGCGTTTCATTCAGCAATATTTTATATTTTGAACACACTCAAATGAATGGATTCTATATAAAGATAATAGATACATACATTGTAATGCTACTGTATATCTAAAAATGTCTCAAATAAAATATTTATTAAAATATTAAAAATATTTTGTTTAAAACCATAAAAAAAAAAACCACTAAAAAATTACAAGCACCTTGATTGATTATTTTACGCTTGCAGCTCCTTTCGTTAAGTGAATTTTGCACAAGGATCTTGTTGCACACAAGATGAATGTACATGTATATCAACTTGCATTTTCAGGCAGAGGAAAGCAGCAATGAAATTGAGCAAGACAAAATGCATGGATAAGCACAACACTTTTATATCAAGGCACACATCCCACAGACTTTTTATACTCTACGGTATGATTGAATCAGGATTGGCCTAAAAGTTTGAGATATAAAAATGGGCTGCTATTTTTGGAATTTATTTTCTAAATTGGCAATATCTACAGCAAATAATGGAACACATGCCCCAAACCTCCACCCATCTGAAACCACCGCTGTGAATAACCAAGAAACTTGTACTGTTGAAACATATTCTTTACTCTGTAAATATTTGCACTCTAAAAAATTGTTAAAACATTTTTTTTCAATTTATTAATACATATTTTGATAGCGATCTTCACAATATTTTATAAGCCAAGTCAAGAAACTTGTTTCCACATAATTATGGACAGTGAATTGTCCATTGTTATTTTCCACTCATTAAATTTGTGCGTGCATTTACTAATATTTTAAATGCTTCTTCACTCTCTGGTGCTACAGTTTTATCTGGATGTAACAACACTGCTAGTTTACGATAGGCCTTGTTGATTTCCTCTTTTGTAGACCCCACTTTCAATCCTAGTCGTTCATAATCATTTCGTCCATTTTTGATACACTGTACAGCTTCAACTTGCTCTTTCGTATACCCAAGTTTAGTTGTTATTCTCATCACTTTGCCTCCATTTTCAAACGCAGTAACAACACCATCAAACAGCTTTCCGAACATCTCACTGATCCCTTCCCCTGAACAAGCCGATGTTTCAAAATAAAGAAATCCTTTGCTGTCTGCCCACAGACGCCCCTCAAGTCCATCTACAACGCGCTTTGATTTTCTATCAATCTTATTTGCACATACAGCAAAGACAACTTTATCCATATATGATGGGTCTCCTATCTCTTGTTTCATCTCAGTTAACCAGGATTCCAAAGCTTCAAAACTTTGCCTGTTTGTTACATCGTAAACAAGTAATGCTCCTTGGGTATCCTTATAAAACTCATTCCTCACTTCATAGAATATCGGATGTCCAGCCATATCAAATATATTTATCTTAACATCACGATCTTTGACTCTAACTTTAGTAACACCATAGTCTATTCCAATGGTTGCAAGATACTTATTTACAAATCTTTTTTCACAATATCGTTTAATGATGCAGCTCTTCCCAGCCTCAGTGTTGCCCATACTGATGATTTTGGCTCGAATTGGTTTGTTTCCAGTCATATTGTTCATTCAAAAAACAAAGTTATGTTTTCTATAAGTATTAAAAACAGCATTTACACTGCCATCTGAGACGGAAACATGAATAAATTGGATCAAAATTGAAAAACTTCAGCCGAGTTTCCTACACACTTCCTTTGTATAAAATGGTATCCATAGAATTGTTTACAAGTGCGCCATCAGCGACCCTTGCAAACAGTTAACATCGTTTTACTGAATTTCATTAAGTTAATCATTTGTAACACAGTATGTTTAGTAATTATAATATTTGCATTTATAGATAATTATTTTAACGTACAGTATTTCAGTTAACAACCAAAACAATATATCTTTATTTACAAAATTTGTTTTAAAATACTCTTTTCACTAAATATATTGCCTATTATTAATTAGAGGGTAGAGGTCACGGAGTTTTGCGATTTTCATCATGGCCGATCCAAGAGAAAAAGCTATTCAGGAGTACCGTAAAAAACTGTTAGAACACAAAGAAATTGATGCTAGGCTTAAAGAAAGTAAGATTACTGTGTTGTAGAAAGTTATATAAATCGATCTTTCTAAGATTTTTATTTTTTGTTGACTAAAACTACATTTTTTACCCTAAGAATTTCGTTCACTTATGCTGATTCATTCATTCGCTGCTCTGCCTAACGAAACTGTGTGGTGGGTGCGAGTGCGAGCGGGACCCTGACTGAGGAAAGGGCTAGGCCTAGTGGGGGCCTAGGCTACTGGCCTAGCCTAGCTAGATAAAATAGTAAAAGCTATATAATGCTTAGGTCATCATCATTATATTTGTTAATGTTTGTAAATAAAATAGACCAGGTGGATTCCTGTTGCATGATTATCATCATGTTTTCAAAAGGGTCGTCACTGCAATGGAGGCCACAAGAAGAGTTATAAATTTGCATAATTTTTTATTTAATTGAATTAAGATGGGATATGCATTTATTAATCAATGAAACTATGCTTTCTGAGACAATTAGGTTAATTAATCCGGAATCCAGAATCATGGTTATCTTTGAAATCACATTACCTAACACGAAATATGTGTCTCTGCAATTAAGTAGACTTCTCCCTAATTAGCTGCAAGTATGAGAAGGACAAATTGGTATCTTGGTTTGTATTTCAGTGCGAGATACTCTTAAAGAGTTGACAAAGAAGTATGAAAAATCTGAAAATGACCTGAAAGCATTGCAGAGTGTTGGACAGGTAAGTAAAGCTTATATCAATTGTACAGATGCTCATGATTGTCATGTGAACTTGTTTTTAGTGCTGGTGTACTTCTTTACCACAGTAATTGCGAGTTAAAGATTTGTCGGTTTGAAATTTGTTATTTATAATCTTTTTTATTTTTTTTTTTCAAGATTGTTGGTGAAGTCCTGAAACAGCTCACAGAAGAAAAATGTAAGTATTGCTGCATGCTGCAAAAAACACTATTGGAAGGCAGCAAATGCTCATAGAACTGTATTTCGTACTTTATAAGCAATAAATGATTTTTTAAAAGCACATTACCAACTAAATAGTGAAATAATCTATGTGCTAGTGTTATAAAGCTGAGTACACAATGAGCTGACAGTCTTAGCTTGACATAATTCAATGAAGAAAATAACGCAACAAAATACGTGCAACTGATATTTTTTTTAAATGGCAGCATTATGTCATCAACAACTCATAGGGGGCGAAGGTGGATCTGTCAATCAATGGTCGTAAAACACAGTAGTGCCCATATTAACTGTGTGTCACATTTTGTGCATGTTGATAAAGTATCCCTCCACTTATTTATTTTATTATTTTATACTTTTGGTACATATTTTAGTTATTGTGAAGGCAACAAATGGTCCACGATATGTTGTAGGTTGCCGACGTGGTATTGATAAATTGAAGCTAAAGCCAGGTACTAGAGTTGCTTTGGACATGACCACCCTCACCATAATGAGGTACGTATATTCAGTTTTATTTAACATGAAGCCCGTCATATTTTTTCGTTGAATGCTGGGCTGGGCACATCTGGATAGCAGTGGAGTAGCACATCCATAGGAAACATGTGCACCTACTTAGCTGTATTCTACTACAAGTCAGTTCGATGGCCACAACAATTTATATTTTGTAGCATTCTTATATCTAATTCATTTGTTTTCTAATTTTGCGGTGTCAATATTAATACTTTGATGTTTTAAATTTTTTTTTCTACATAATTTCTTTTAATTCTTTATTTGTTCTTAATTCTGAAATTTTGGGCTCAGCCCCTGGGGACCCACAGCAGCTGCAGCGCTGCTACAACATATAACAGACACATCAATATTTCTCCCACCTAACTATCAATATGAGGGTTACTCGAACCTGAGACGGGCCAGGTTTGAACCGGGGTCTTCAGCAGCATGAGTAATACCTGCTCAGCTCATACTGTAATTCATTATTCAACAGGTATATAATAATTATAGTTTGCATAACTGGTAAAATATATTATTAAGAGATAACTTCTTCCAATGGTCGGTTAATGTTTCTATCAATAGTGTTACCACAAGCTATCAAATATACATCAAATATGCAGCTAAATTTTAGAGAAAACATGACCTATGTTTATCATTGCAGGTATTTACCTAGAGAAGTTGACCCACTTGTTTACAACATGTCACATGAGGATCCGGGTGATGTCAAGTATTCTGAGATTGGTGGTTTGTCGGAACAGATTCGTGAATTGAGAGAGGTATTGCCAATATTACACTCCCTATTCCAAGTCCCAAATCTTAAGCGTATCGTAATTACTGTATTTCATAACAGATTGCATAATGCTTTAATATTATTCCAGGAATTTATTGGGTTATTTTTCAGGTTATTGAACTTCCACTGTTGAATCCTGAACTGTTCCAGAGAGTGGGCATCACCCCTCCAAAAGGCTGTCTACTATTTGGTCCACCAGGGACTGGTAAAACACTTCTTGCAAGAGCAGTTGCTAGCCAGCTTGATGCAAATTTCTTGAAGGTATTGTATGTATATTAATAAAATATAAAATAAATATTATTAGAAGCAGGTATTTAAAATTTACAGGATAAACTTGAAAATGTGGTTATTATGAAGTGATTAATAGATTGTGATGATCAGATTTGTAGATGATGATGATAATGGTATTGGTAAATGTCAGTGTAGGTTAGATACATAAAATATGAAATAAATATTAGAAGCAAATATTTAAAAATATAGAGAATAAACATGAAAATGTGATTATGAAGTGATTAATAGATTGTGATGATCAGATTTGTAGATGATGATAATGGTATTGGTAAATGTCAGTTTAGGTATTTTTGACTTGTAGTGCTCATCATCATCACCATCATCACTATTATCATGATTATTATTATAATCATCACCATCATTATCATCAATCTTCTTAAATATAATTTTGAATTTGTGACATTAGTTTTCATTTCGCTCTTAAATTCATAATATTGATTTTTATGTAAGCCAAATGTATTTTTCTTCAAAAATAAGTTATTACTAATTAGGATTTCCTCACTTAATATTTAAAATCTAAAACTTTGATGGTTTTGTACATAATTACATATTACAAACCGATTCACTCCATTTTAGGTTGTTTCGAGCGCAATTGTAGATAAGTATATAGGTGAAAGTGCTCGGCTGATTCGTGAGATGTTTGCCTATGCAAGAGATCATGAACCTTGTATTATCTTTATGGACGAGATTGATGCTATTGGTGGACGAAGGTTCTCGGAAGGCACATCTGCTGACAGAGAGATCCAACGTACTTTGATGGAGGTAATACTGGCACGTATTGGTTTTAAAGTACTTAAATGGGAGTCTTACATGGTCGTGGAATTTTCAAGTGGTTTTCATGTTGTCATTTGATAGTTATGTGATCCTATGCATTCTAATGGGTCATCTACATATAGATGATGGAATGCTCTGCTTCTCAGCCAATCAAACGATGATCTGCTCAGGCTTATTTTTTTACTGTATAATCAAATATTTTGTATATAAATGATTTAATATATATTTCCTGTGTCTTTGATATTTTAGTTATTAAATCAAATGGATGGTTTTGATACTCTCGGAAAAGTGAAGATGATAATGGCAACCAACAGACCTGACACGTTAGATCCTGCTCTTCTTAGACCTGGACGTTTAGACAGAAAAATTGGTGAGTATAATTATAACCACCTAGGTGTTACCTCTATCTAATAAAGAGCAAGTCAAGAAAAAAGATAAAATTTAGCTGTCGATTGTTGAGATAAATTATTTTCTAAATGTAAGGTATGTGTTTATATCAACGTTTGCTCTCTTAGGTTTCTAATAAGTTGGACTGCAATTTTTTAGGCACCTTGTAATTGCTTAACTTCACAGCCTGTCAACAGTCCAGTTTTTTTTATACCATAAATGCAAATTATCCTTCTGTTCTGCACATCAACGTTCAAAGATTCTTATGGAATTGTGATGTTATTTTTCAGAAATCCCTTTACCAAATGAACAAGCCAGGTTAGACATTCTCAAGATTCATTCAGCTCCTATCACAAAACATGGAGATATCGGTATGTATCATGCATTCTATTGCTTTAAACAAAGATCAGTGTATACAAATCCATAATAATAATCCAGCAATCATACTGTGCTATTTATTTAATGATGTATTTCCTGGTACTGATAATTTGTGAATCTTCTATGTAGATTATGAAGCTATTGTGAAGTTATCAGATGGTTTCAATGGAGCAGATTTGAGGAATGTGTGCACGGAAGCAGGTGAGGGCACTCCACAATTTTATTCGGAACTTGATTGCTAAAAATTTATTTAAAAAGAATGTTACAATGAAAAAGTGGCTATAGTTGTAGAAAATCTGACAGCCTAAGTCACAGTTGTGTAAAGTGTTACTCGACCACGATTTTTTTGCGGCCAGCGAAAATGATTAATAAACCGTGTGTGCGGCCCAATACCGATCATCTGTAAAAAGTAATATTAAAATTGAGAATAAACTGGTGTAAAAGCAGTGCTTGGAGGTTTTTTGAAGCAGACTGGAAACATCAAAGTTTAGGTGCGGCCTTTGGTGTTAAATGAAAAATTCACTTTGGCCCTCCGACCAATTTTTATGCCCACCCCTGGCCTATGGTCAATGTTAATTATAGCTCAGTCTAGTTTAGTTTCTAAATCAAGATTGTAAATTAAAAGAAAGCATTAGGAAGCTTATAATCAACATTTTTAGAAATCAATCAACTCAAATTTAAAGCGCAGACTATCAAATAAATTAAAATTATGTAATCTATTGTCTAAGATTCAATGTTGTCAAATTACAAGAAATAACAGTGGAGTACAATTAAAATTAAAATTTGTATGAAAAATTAATTCCAAAGAGATAAAATAAGCCACTGGAAAAATATAAATTTAAGCAACTTGTACCGTAACTGGAATTTTGTTTATTTTATTTGAAAGGTATGTTTGCCATCCGAGCTGAGAGAGAGTATGTTGTGGACGAAGATTTCATGAAAGCCGTGCGAAAAATATCTGACAACAAAAAGCTGGAGACGAAACTAGACTACAAACCTGTATAATCCAGAATTTATTTAACACAAATAACTGATTTTGTTCTCATAATATTGGCTGTATGGATGGTTCCGCGAAACCTCTCCCCATGTTGTAAAATCCCACAAAATGCGTACATTTACATAAACATGTGTTTGTTAAGATTGACCAATCACAACAGAGCCAAGAATATGTCCCTGTTCCGTTCTGATTGGACAGTTACTAACATTGAATTCTCATATGCCATAATTATAGCACAGTAATAATCTGATAAGCAGGGTTACTGTACTACTTGTATTATTCAAATGTGACGGCTTATTTAAATAAATATTGGTTGTCAGTTACAACACATCTTACTAAAAGTGTTTCAATGCTAATGCATAATGACATGACTAGCAATTTTGCTAAGCGTTGAAATAATGTTGAATCCATACGGAATTTTGTTAACTCATGTAGCTACTATATAAACATTGTAATTACAGTGTTCCTATTTCTGTAGTTGTAAATTAGATTTGTAAACTTTTTTTTGTTTGTTTTTTTTTGTCACATAATAAGAGCAATTTGAATAAATAATACAAAAATGCAGCTATGTTCTGGTCTGTATTGCAATAGATTAGGCAAGAACTACTTTCGTTTAGCAAAGGCCTTTGGAAGGCGGAAAAATTTAAACAGGTCTTTGGAAGGCGGAAAAATTGAAACAATTTTTTTTTTAGCGGAGTGGTTTTGCCAAAAGCATTTAGGGCAGAAAATTTACCAACAAATAGCGGGGTAAAAATTAAAAGATGAAATGTTACTATGGAAATTTCCAGGCGATGGGTGTGCTATCAAGCCAAAAATGAAATCCCGCATTATATTTATTTGAAATCGTTATGAGCAGGCAGGGGGTGTCTTAGCTTAGCATAAAAATATGACAGTATAATATACTTTAATACAGGGAAGCCATAATACTTTTACACTGGCAATAGTAAGACACGAGGGGCTCTGTCATTGCAGTTTTAAAAAAAATATAATATAAACTATAATACCATAGTTTCATTCAATAGACCCACCGACAGTTTTAAACATTGAAAATACACTGGCCTGGCATCATCGTACAGAAACTGCATTATCTTGGGGCTCGTGTGTACCATCCCTGCAGCTTTTCATTTATATTGTGGTTTCTCTTGCGAACCACACTTGATTGATGTTGCACGTGACACAAGCGTGGTGTCTTTCGGTTTACAGACAGTCGTTTGGAAATGTTTCGGCCTGACATGTTCCTTATGTTTTTGTACGCTAGTACATCAAATAATAATTTTGTCAAAAAATGTTGTCAACCACACACTTGTGTATGAAAAAGAATACATCTTGAACAGTGGCAGCTCTAGGATATAATTTATGGGGGCTAAGATGTTCGACTTGGGGAGCTAAGTATTTATGGGTGTACTATAGCCGAAGGCCTGAGCCGGGGGGTGGGTATGGGAGGGGAAATCCCCTCCTCCCAAAACGATATATTTTTTTTTTTTAATTGGGACTTCTAGACTAGTAGATGGCCAAATTAGGCCTACTTTTTTTTTCTTTTCAGTCCGACTGCCCGACGAGCTTTGCCCGATGGTGGGGCTTGACCAGACTGGTGGGGGGCTTAATCCCCCGCTGACGCCGCCACTGATCTTAAATTGTAATTGCAACAATTTAGGATAACCATGTTGACGGGGTATTCTAATAAGCAGAAAGAGTAAAAATCATCAAAATACACCGTCAACGTCAGATATGTTGGAGCCGACAGGACATCCCAGGGTGGTAGGGCTTGAAGAAGCCTTACCTTGTCAAATTAGAGAGTCGAGCGGTTAAGGCAGGGGCACCGCAACATGCAGCCATTATATCGGCGCTGGTTCGAACAACATGCTCAACTATGGCTCTGGTGGTAGAACAAGTCTTAGATAAGGACTATAATCTGTAAGCCCAGTGTACACAACGGCTTGTGTGCACTATAAATAACCCAGTACGTCATTCATAACTAGTAGGGGATTCCCCGGTGTACTGGTACAGACTGCCCCTTTAGTGGACAAGAGTTGCTGGTACCTTGTTACCGAGTAGCACAGACACGAAGGACCTTTAGGGGCGAAGGAAGTCATTGATCGAGCTACTAGTCCACATATTAAGCGCCCTGAGCATCTTGTTTGATGGATACCGGCACTATAAAATTTACACTATTATTAATATTATTATTACCTCTTTGTTTTGCCACTGAGCAATCCCAAGCTGCTCGTACAGTAGTAATACACATGAAAACACACAAAGTACATCTTAAATTCAATGCGTTTGAAGTCCAGTTTAATTCTTTAAAAAACATTTGTAGACAAGTTGAATTTTTCTTACAATAATGAGACAAAGTAACCCTTACAAGTACAATTACATATCTCATAAAGATGCCAACTTTTAATTCTGTGCATGCAATGCAATTTTAGGAACTTGTTCTGTCAAGAAATAAATACATTTATGTTCATACATTTAGATGCAAGTCTGCAATATTTATTTGTTTAGTTAATATGCAGAAAAGAATTTTCGTGATTGTAATTATTTTCTGTGATTCCTTCATATTCTCAACTGTCATTTAAGTTAAGAATATGAAGGAGGCAAAATTAATAACAAAATAGAGCACTAATAATATAATTATGCTCTGTCAATTTCAATGAACTAAGATCAAATCATCCTAAGAGTTTGGCTGTCTCACACAATCATCTCTAATTCCCGGGCATACTCTATCGTCTGCTCAGCTAACTCGCACGCTGGTATCACCTCATCTGCTTTCTTCTCATCGTTACTAAAGTACAAATACCCATCATCCTTTAAATTCCAATTTTGCTGAGGAAAAAATAAAATAATGAAAAAAAGAATACAATTATACAGGAAAACAGTAGATTTTTGATAAATAGTTTTAAAATGCCTCAGGACAATTTCTTTTTGTTGTATAAGGCATCTCAAGGGTCCCATCCAAAATTTCTAATTTTAAATATAGTAGAACCCTTATTAAGTGGACACCTTCGGGACCAATCAAAGTTTCCCCTTAATATGGGTGTCCCCCAAATAGGGTTGGCCATAGTGTTAAAAGATATACTGTACTTTCCTTCATTTTGTGGATAAAAGTGTTCCCTTACTAAAAGTGTTCTAAAGGAGGGTTCTACTGTATATGGAATTGGACAAAAAAGGAAAATTTAATTTTTTAGATAATTATAAAACTTACTGCCTCTCCAAATGCTTTTGCTTCCCTAGCATTGCTAAAAAATAAAATCCTTGTAGCTTCATTCAGGGCGATTCTTTCATAGGCCTTAGCAGCACAAGCAGCAATCTCTAGCCGGATTGTATCCAGTAAAATGTCAATGAAGAAGTTGTAGCTTTCAGCTGGTACATTGTCTTTAGCAAGAAACACCTAGTGGATCCAAAATAAATCAGTTTTAATTTTGAAAAGTTCTCATGAATATTTATCATTTAATTTAAATATTTCACTTGCATAATTTTACAAGTCCCTAAATGATCATCAAAGGAGGGCAAAAAAATTAAAATTGCATTTTGTTATTTAGCAAATAATTTTGCCAAAAACATCCAGATGGAGGAGAAAATAAAAATAAAATTTTGTTTTCTTATTTAGCAAATAATTCTGCCAAAAACATCCAGATGGAGGAGAAGATAAAAACAAAATTTTATTGGTGAATATAAACAGTGTCGTAATGGGATGATTAAATGCTTTAAATTTATATAATCGGAAAGAAATATAGTGTACATATCTTGTTTATTTTTTAGAGATATTTAGGCAGCAGGGGGCGTAATAAAAATAAAGAAAAGCTTTTATTTTTTTTCTGCAATTTTCATTTTTTCGTGTCTAACTGCCCAAAAATAAAATTTTATTTTTATTCCAAATCATCGTTACTGGCGGGCAGCGGCTTCACTAAACAAGTTATAAAAAGTCTCGCCTAACTGGCTAAAACTAGTGTCATTGTTAAATGCTGATTATGTGGCATTAACGGTCCTACACAGACTTGTCACCAAGATGAAAATTAAATTACCATCCACTGGAATGATATCCTTATAATCTGCACAAAACAAAAAATCCCACAATAAAACAATCGTTATTAAAATTATGACTTGTCTTTTTTACCATTGGCCAAAGCACATTATTCATATTGTCTAAGTGGATACCTAAAATGTTTGAAAGGAAACCTAGTGATTGGCTGCAACATTATATGGAATACTCTGCAAGAACCCAAGTGTGTTCAACTGAGAAGAATGTTGTCAAACACAGTGAGGCCTTGGTACCATGCCCCATAAGTGACAACACAATTACCAAATTTAAGACGTACCTTGTTGTAACTACCTTCCATTAAATATTGTTCCATTGACACTGGGTGTTTGATGTAAATATTATTCAGGATTTCTGTAGCTGGAAGAAGCTCTAATTCCTGAGGGAATAACAATAGGAAACCATTAAGTTGATAAAATGAGCATACACCAGTATCTCCAACATCAAGATATAAGCCTTCACCAGCTAATATTGAACAATGATACTGTATTCAAAAATAATTATAGTATAAACATAGATATAATATACATAGACACATTCTAATATACTATAATACATTATTTCATTGGTGGTATTGAGAAAGATGTTTTTTTTTAGAGTCTATATATAAACCCCCACCACAGCGTTGCAGTGTCTTGCAAAAAAAAGCATAAGAATGAGAGATGGGAACAACATCCTGTGAGCCTAGAAGCCTCAGGTTCTGAACTTTACCTATATAAACAATTTTGATTCGCAATGATTAATTTGCAATGTTCAATAAATATTTACCGGTATATCAATTTCAATTTTAGTGGCAATTCTTGCTACCGCAATAGCAAATATTAATGTGAAAGGTTATAGTAAAGTCTACTTGGAGTTGTCGTCTAGTAAAGCCAAATAATTACTGGTATTTTACTATTAACTTTGACTATATATATATTGTCTCTCCCAGGCTGTGGCAGATACTGGTATTATTATAATTTTATATACACTTTTATTTCACTTTAAAATCACAATAAAAATAGAAAGATACTGCAAGCATTACCCACCGTATGAAACTCTGCAAGTCTATTTTGTGATAAAAGGTACAAAAGATTTAAGCCAAGAAGTTGAAGTTTGTAAGCAGATTCTGGGATTTCATCTCTGAAAAATTACACAAAGTTAATTACATTTGCTGACATCAGGTCTAACAATATTAAAATGTGTAATTATGAACGCTAACTTTAGTCAAGTTCTAGAGCTACTCGGACTAACTTAGTCCACTTTCCAGAATATGGTCTAAAAATTAACAATTATCATTATTAACAAAATCATGGACAAATAAAATTTCAATTACTACAGTATACAAGTGAATGAAACTTATTTTGAACAGTGTTTTTCAGTGAAGTATTATAGTAACTATATAAGCAATAATACATAATAAATTAAAACATACTTATAGTCAAAATAATATGGTTTCAATTGTGCCATGTAGCGTTCAAAAGATGCTGTATCACTTTTCAAAACACTCCACTGGACACCAATTTCAAGTATTCCCCCTAAAAAAAAATTATTGTAAGAAACGCCATCAAACACATTACTGTATAGATAACAAAATTTAATCCTTAAACATATTTTTTAACTAAAATATTAAGAACATAAGAAAGGTTATATTGCATAAAAATCTCTATTTTCAAAAATAATTAATTGAGTTGTACATTTTTTCTTAGAGATCTGGTTGAATTCATACAGTTTTTCTACATCTATTTAAAGAAATAAGGTTACAAAAAGACACATGTAGGCCAATCAAACATTTAAAATATTATCATTTATTTTAATTTAATTTTTTTGCCAATCATTTCACTTTTGTAACTTACTTGCAATGATTAATTCCTTCTGTGATGGTTTACATTCTTCAGTTGGCAAAAATGACAACTTTAGGAGGGCAATCTAAATTAAATAAATAGAAAAGAAAAAGATAATGTTTTGGTTACTAAACTAAATGGGCCATCAATAAACTAGTACACGGTTTGATAATTTATAGTGAGGGTTTACTTTGTATGCCTAGTTCATACTAAGATTCATTGCTGAGTAGTAGTAGTTACTCTTTAAGCCTAGGCCTAGTGATACCGGCGTTGCCATTATCAGGCCGCGCGCCCAGGCCTAGCCTAGGCTAGGCCTACCACTAACTTCTGACTGAGCGAGGAAGTGAATGGTTAAGCCTAGCGAGGCCTAGAAAAAAATATGAATTAATAGCACATAATGTACCTAATAGGTTTTTCAATTTTACATGTACATCATATATACCTTAAGCTTTTGAAGTATGTCTCCACATTTGTCTAAATTCGGCTTCTTCTTCTTCCATTCTTTACTCAAAACATCGTACAATGACACTGCTTCTTTCATTGTCGCCATGATTATTGCTGCTGCTTGTAGAAACGAGTGCGCCCTCAAGCATCTCATCTCTTTTGCTGCTGCTCTTGCCTAGCGCCTGGGGGGAAGAGGAGCAGTTGGGTTTGCACTAGGCGACTTAATTCGTTCCTCTTCTCTTTCCTCGTTTCTCCATGACCCTCCTTCCCTCTTCGAAGTTCTGAATCTGCGGCCGCCGCTGAATTGTATAAAAATATACAATTATAATTAACGCTTTTAAAAACAAAGAAAATGAAAAATAAGAACAGTAAGTAAAAAGAGCTCCACCGTCAGGAGGAAGATCCAGAAGGGGGACCCTAGATGGTCTGTGTTGACTAAAATTAAATATTTCGATTGCCTTCACTGTATTATTATTATCATAGCGAATTCAAGAAGGGGACCCCAGCCGGCCGGCTCCCTTCTAAATTTTTGAAAATAAAAAAAAAATATGGAGAGAAAAACAAAATTATTTAAGTGTCATTTCCAGTCATCTGATGCTATGGTTACCAAAAGACAATAGGCTAATAAAATCCGGATAACGGATAGGTCTGGTACAGTTCCTCTTTTTTGTCCTGTCATCTATTTGAAGTTCTTTTTTAAATGCGGCTCATTTTTATTTAAATATTATGGTTTTCAGTTGAAAATTATGACGATCGTACATCTTCAATACAATGAAACACTCAAATCAGCTCAGCAGCTGGTTTACACAGCTCCGATCTGAGATAGGAAAGTCGAAAAATGACACCCTCCGCCGAGGACCATCCTTACCCTGCCCCTTTGGTGTAACCGTTTCTCCCAATTTTTCCCGTCTGCCTTTTTGCATAGTGGACGTGCTTGTGATGTGTCTCTTATACACATCTCTGCTGGAGCGATGTCCCTTACTGGAAGACCGATCACCCCTGATGGGCTAGTGGGAGACAGCCAGCTCCCAGAATCCCTAAAAATCCGACTTTCCGGGATTTGAAAGGCTTTAATCGATTTTAGAGTCTCACGTTCTGAAATAGGCCTATAGTAGGCCTATACATAGAAATGCCTACCCCCGACAAATTGTGGGTTTTTTTTTTTTTCTACCCGATCTGGGTGGGGGATTGCACTCCCTAAGCTGGCCCGGCTTTTACACATGGCCCCTAAATCTTTGAAACCGAAGAATTGCGTTTTCCTACTACCCTACCCCACACACCGGAAAAAGCCAGTCGCCATCACATGGTTCCAACCATGGACCTTATTTAATAGGTCCATGTTCCAACCTTGAATTCAACAATAACCTGTTGTCAACCCGGTTGTCAATCACAATGATTGATCAGACAGGTAGAAAGTAACTTTCACGTGAAGAAGAAAAAAAAATCTCCACAAAATATTAATTAATAGACAGATAATTAATAGACAAGTTATCTTTTATCATCTCATGAGTATATCCCTATTGACATCGGCCATTGACTCACAACAGCAGTCATAATTTGTTCACGGAGGTGGTGTGACTCTTGGGTTTTCTATTGTTTGGGTGATGAGTCCTTTGATAAAGCTTCACATTCCTCAAATAACTCTCTTTCAACCCACCTTTTTGTCAGTGTCATAATTGCGCGGAGTAATATTTTTAGATACGCACAGTAATGAGTAAAGAAAACAAACAAATGACTTTTAATGTTCACGATTATACAGCTTTAATTGGAATATATTTTATATGTTTACGTTAAATTTCATTTATATAGATACAAAAAATGTGTTATCTACATACATGGTTTTGTGGTAAGTAATCTGTGAGAGAAAAATGAACAAAGTAGATCGATCGGACGTAGATTGCACCGAGTGTACACTGTCCAGCAAGGTATTCCCCGTGTGTGTTGTAAGAAGAGGTGGAGTTGTGTTTTCTCTTGGCTGAACAAAATACTGTGTTCGTTGGTGTTGTCACATATATTTCAAAATTAAGGAATTAATTATTTTATTAATTTAAAATGCTTCTATGATGTTCATTTCAGAGTAGTGTAAGGTAAGCGTGTTTCGTGTACTCATTTTGTGCTAGGCTGGGGTAGGGCCTAGGCTAGGCTAGAGTGTTGCTTGTTTTTCACACCGCCTCCTGTTGCACTGCCGCGCCACACGATCGACCTGGGGAGGACTCACATTGGAGGATGGGGTACACCACAGATAGCTGGCGCACAGCTTAGTTAGCTGATGTCCCCACTAACTTGGCGGGCTGGCTAACACTCGCATTACGTTTTTTCAGGCCTAATTAAAGCTAACCATGTATTTTCTAGGCTTATGACATGTTTAATGATGGATTCTTTGCAGGAGATCCTTTATTATTTATTTTTGTTGTATTTTTTATGTATAAAACTGTACTACTAACAACAGTAGGCCTCCTAGCAGTACCTAGTCAGGGACCACCATTGTGTGGGCAAGTTAAAAAGGGCATAACAATTAACATAGGCCTAGTGAAGGCTAATCTCTACTGTAGGCCAAGGCCATACAGTATAATAAAGAATAATAAATTAACAATTAGGTTATGCCCCCTCTTCTAGGTTAAACTGGTTTTTGCATGCTTGATTTTTCCTCATAAAAAAACCGATGATGCTGCATTTGCAGTCCTTGTTCATCATTGCTTTATCCCTCTATTGCTTTATCGCTTTATTGCTGGCTCATCTATGAAAAATACTAATATGATTGTGAAAATTGATGAATTTTAAGTATTACAGCTTTATAAGAGTAGATTATTAAAATTAGTGAAGCTGTAGCTTGGTGGTTAAGATGCTTGTTTCCCAGTCCAAGGGTCCTGGGTAGTCCCTCCACTTCCAAAGCCTCATGAAAGAGACTTAGTTTATGAAGCATCATTCCATCCGGTAAGCGGTGAGTTTACATTGTTTTGGTTAAATCTGGTTTTTTTTAAATAATAATTTTAAGATAATAATTTAACAATATATTCTTAAATTCATATCTTCATGTTGTTGATTTGTTGTTTTTTTTCTATTCATATTGTCAATTTTATTTTAGCAGTTTGTTGTACCGTATGTGTTCACATTTTATAAACAGCTGGTAACATTTTTGAATTTCACAATGATTGTACTTGGATGAAAAACTAATCTTTATTTAAGCCCGACAAAAGCACATTGTGGTGGTATAAGTCTTAGTCCTTGTTGAAAAACCTTCATTGGAAAGAAGATAAAACAAAGGACACACCTTTCCCATGTACACAAAGTACAAAGAATGTGACTGCCTACATAGAACAGGCTACAGTAGTTTAAACTTCTATGTTACCAGTATACATTTTTATCTTGTTTTATGTGGTTTATAGAATGAACTAATAACATGATTGCTGTCGTTTGTAGGCAAATTAATAAGTCCATTTAGTCTATCATCAGTCCCTAGTCAGTACTAGTTGTTGAACTGTACTAGTGCTAGTACTGTACTTTTCTTTTGTTTCTTTTGCTTTCTTTGTTACCCAATATTATAATGAATTTATTGTGCAGGTGATATATTACAGTATTCCTATATACTAATAAAGAAAAACAATGTCTCAATAATAAGTCATTCAAAAGCTTTCATTTTTCTATATTTTTGTGTAAAATTGATGGTTGCTGCACCATATTGATCATGCCCATCTCATATGTTGTTGCAATTTTATAGTTTTTCCAGATCTACATTCTCAGTATATTGAAAGGTATTTCTCTATTATCAAAGTTAATAAGTGTCAAGTACAGTAATACTTGTTCTGATTGGTCGATGATTTCAGGCAAGCCTAAGCCTGTCTAGGAAGGTTTAATACCTCACCATTTGTAGGATTCCAAATTATTCAAATGTTAGTCCTTGAGAAATTACCTATAAATGCCAAATTCACATTCCTTTAATTTTTATGATGCATAGAAAATACGGCATAAATTTCATACATTTTTTATAAATTAATACATTTTTTTTCCAGGTAAATATGAATTATAATTACAAAGGATATAGACGGAAATAAACTGCACCATCCAAGATGCCGTTTGGATTAAAGTTTAAAAAGACTCGGAGATATTATGTCTCGGGAAAGAACTCGTTTGTAGCGAGAATACAACTCCTTGATAACACTTTCATGGAATGTACCCTGTCTGTTGAGGGTACAGGTCAGGATTGTTTGGAAATTATTGGCCAAAAGTTAGAACTTGAGGAGGTGAGAAATGTTTATCTTTAAATATTTTCTTTAGTACCTGGTTGATAATTGAAGCTCATTTGTGTGGCACAGCATATAAGGTGTTGGACTTCTGATCGTGAGAAGGGGGAGGGGATGGTGGAGACCGACACCCGTCGCATCGTTTGTGTCCTTGGGCAAAGCATTTTACTTAAGTTTGCCTCTCTCCACCTAGGAGTATACAATAAATGGGTACCTGGTAGGATGGTGCGGGCATTGATATATTAGGTTGTGCATTTAAAACAGCATGACTTGGGATACTCCCTAGGGAACAGAGAAAGTTGCACAAAAATGTGCTGGTTTGCGAACTTAGTATCCAGTGACCAGGGAAATACAGATGCCAGCGGCTTGTATATTTTTCTGTTTGTGATAGGCACCATACAGTATAAATTTGAATTCTGGAAAAAAAAAATAAAAGTATTCAAAGGCAATAAGAAAGTTGTTGTGTTTGAAATAATAACCTGTTTGAATTGCTTTCTTACTTACAGTTGATGTACTTTGGGTTATTGTACATAAATAAGAATTATAAGTTACGATGGGTTGAGTTGGAAAAACCATTAAAAAAGCAGTTGGATAAAAATGGCCATGATACTCTTCTTCGATTTGGTGTGATGCTGTATACGTCCAATGTACAGAACCTGCAACAGGAGATCACAAGGTGAGTATTGTCGGGTATTGGATCATTGAGACCACTAATTGCATAATCCCTCGTTGATAAATTTGTCTTTTTGAGGGTTGCGGGACTAACCTCATAGAACAATCTTTCTATTAACATTGGGTCTTCTATCTGTTACTATCTTTTAATTCTTACTTAAAGAAATGCATTTGTTTAAATAATCTGGGTTTTTTTTTAATTCTTTTTATTTTTCTTTATCATTCAGTTTTTTGTTTATTGTGTTTACAAAAAATGGTGTTATAATATAAATATAAAACATTGAGTTTACTTGAATCTGTAGCACATATGAAATCTAATAAAAAAATAAAAAAATAACCGAAATTGACATGCAATGCACGCATTAATTTTATATCATGATCTATTCTGTAACAAAGGACTTAAATTCTCATTAGGCACAAAGTATTTAAATGTAAATTATGCTATAATATTTGACTACAGTATAATGAGTAATTGATGATGTTTAGTCTTTTGTTGGTAGTTCAAAAGTTCAACTCAACATTGTATTTTAATATACCTGTACTGTACCATAATATTTGTTTTGTTTTCCACAAATATGTTGTTCACCATATTATGTTGAATTATTTTGTGTAAAACTAAAAGGGTATTTTTTTCAAAATTTTAGCATTGAAGATATTTCCTCCTAATTCAGCAGTGCCATACTAACATTAGATTGGTTACCAATGTAAAGCCAAACCCACATCTTTGGTCTTAAAATATTAGTGCTAAATTCTTGGCTTAAAATACAAGATTTAGGCCTACAGGCAGTTTATTACTTGCCATTCTCTAATTTACACACATCTAAAGAAATATGATAATATAAGCTTTTTCTGTTGCAAGCTCCAAGTTATGGAAAGTCATCACTAACTACGGTAGTCAAAGTGTCTTTTGTTGTACAATTTCAATCATTCAATTTTATTTAATTTCGGTTTTTGATTAATTAATTTACCGAGTGGTTTTGATGATGTAGGCAGATTTTTTTTTATCCGGTTGATTCCTATAATGTCCTGAAAATTAGAGGATGGGAATAATCTGTAAAGTTATGAGGCTTTGGAAGTGGATATATTTTTTATTCATTGGTATGACCAATCAAAATTTAAAAATTTAAAAAAATCTATTTACCAGTATTTACACATTGATTCCTTTTTTCTTGTGATGTCCGTGATTCATGTTCGTTTCTTACTGTTGTTCTTTTTTAGACACTGCGCCTTGAGCACCAGTTTGGTGGTGATGTTTGCGCTTTATAATTCGTTATTTGAACTTTACTGTAGAATTTTAGGATTAGAAGGCAAGCACCTTTAACCAGCAACTTACAGAGTATTATTGTAGCTTTCTAAAGTTGCAATGTCAGCCTTGTACTTGGTATGAATTGTACATGCGTTGAGGTGACTGAATCAACTTGCTCTCTCACCTCACTCCATAAATCAACATTCAAAGTCAAGATTGCTGGCATACTAGGTCAAGGTGTATCTTAATCACAGAGGAGGTTCTGTTGTAGAAAATCTGTGCTTGCATCATATTTTACTGTTTACAATATTAAAACAGAGTTGATGTTGTACCTGTATATAAAAGGTCTGATTTAGAAACCGATTATTCAAAGCTATTTTTGTGTCTACAGCCTGTGACTACTGCCACTTGCAGGCAAGTAGACACTTTGCTATTTTGCTGTTGGAATGATTGGGATGCGTCATTAGCTAAAGATATAAATGAAAATTCTTCCAAAAGTAAACCTACTTTACAAAATATGATGCCATGCCTAGAAAAATTAAAAAGTAAACAATTTACAGTTATTTATGTGAAATACCAACACACAAATTGTGGATGGGTTGAGTTAAAAGTAGCCAAACAAAAAACCTTACAGTATATCCAGGGTGCACCACTTGCTATTGTAATGTACTGCCACTGACATAAAAGTGTAATGTAAAAAGTAAATTATAATAAAAATTAAACTAAAGGAGTCACTCCATTGAGTGTGTTGTACTTCCGTCCTGTGCTTGAATACAGTACCAGCAATACACAGGCAGTGTATGATGGGCTAAACTGTAGTATACCCTCATAGAAATAATGGAATCGCCTGTTATGTATTTAGGCACAATATTTTCTTTGAGTGCTGCAGCATATCCTCAAGAAAATAATGGGATCATCCATCATATTCCGGCCCATTGTTTTCTTGAGTGCTGTCTGAGTACGATGGACGATTCCATTATTTTCTTTTATATGCTCATGGGTAAAAAAATAAAATTTATGTGACCTTCACCTTGTCCTTTGACCTTTTCTTCCAAAAATTGAATGGTGTCTTTCTTTGATTATTATACCATTCCACTAAATTTTATGATGATCCATTTCATTAGTTTTGCGTAATCTTGCTAATGTAACACAGACAGCAGTGAATACATAGCCTCCTCGGTGGAGGTAAATATACGTGTAATGTGTGCATTGGCTAGGAGTGTAATAAGTAAAGTAACCAATCAAACACCACTCTCAACATTGTCCTAGTTTTTGAGGAACATAATATCAGGTTTGACAGAATACAGTACATTGTCATTTGTGGAAGGAAGTGATTTTGGATAGCACTCCTAAATAGTCTTATATGTAGTAATCCTCTGAACATAGCTATAAAGGCAGAATAATTTCTTGACCTTCCATACTGTACATTTGATGGGCACAAGAAAACAGGTGTGAGGTGATCATATTCCTTATGGGATGGTGATGAGGAGAAGCTAAATACCTTACATTTCCTCAACCTGTAAATAATGTTATCATCAGTTATGTATTATTAGTATGGAATGGTTAAACCATGGTTAAACAACTCTGCCACTGAGTGAAATCAAGCACTATATAGCAAAAGCATGTACTTTAATAAAATTCTTATGTTTCTTATAAAAAGAGAGGGATGATGAGGCCTTTTTTATTGTCTTCCATATTACTGTATAATCGTTTGCAAAGGCATGCCAAACCAGTCACTCCTCGCAAAATCAATTTTTAGTTATTAGTACAGGGCTAAACAGTGAAATGAGAGAGAGCTATAAAATAGTAAAAGAATCATTTAAGTCCAACATTTCATTATGAAGTTACAGGAGATGTTTAAAAAAAAAATATTTGAGAAATCATCCTTCAAAGTTTACGATTTTGGGCTTCTCTCGGCCGGAAACCATTACCAAATCCTTCAAAATTGTTTTAATATTGAAAATGGGGAAAATAAACAACATAGCACGATGTATAAATATATAAAGGTTTGTTTAGCGCAATAAAATAGATTTTTAAAATGTTGACATGTCATTCCAGCATGTTTTGGTCATTATCTCTAAAACACGATTTGCGAAGAGTGACTAGTTTAGCTTGTCTTGGCCACAAATAATATATAGTATAACCAGTAAAATGAAAAGTATAAAAAACTAAGTCTGTATTACATTCAATACACCTTAGGTAGAAAGCATTGTTACGGGAATTGCCCAAAAATAGACATTAAAATTGTCTCAATGATAGAAAATAAATCAAATTATATAGCCAAATTTAAAAAGGAAAACCAAAAGTATGCACAGAACACTAAGTGCAAAGAGATTTATTGATATGCTTATTGATTTCATTCAATCTTATTTCTATTTTTATAGTTATCATTGTGATCAAAAATTTGTTAAAAATTTCAAGTGGTTTTTTTTTTTTATTGGGTTGAATATAAGGTAGTAGAAGGAAGTACTTTGAACTCAATTTGTTCGTGTATAGACAGAAAATTGGTTGATTTAATTTTTGACAATCAGTTTCCAAGTTGTTGTTCAGTTATCCAATCATTTGGAACATTTGCTAAAAATCACAAAGTCGTAGAGAAATATTTTCTGGTCAACAATCAGAGAACTATACAAATTATCTGTATCAACAATAAGAATTAAATAAGCATAAACTTTATAAAGAGACTCTCGTGAGCAGCCTACATTATATTGGATGTCAATTATCATTAAATTAATTCAGATTGATAAGAATGGAAAGAATGTAGTGCAGTAGTGATTCTTTCTTTATTTAATTTCAAGTGCCTTACATAAAATTGCAGTCACATAAAATATTTAAATACATTTAAGGCATGTGGGGAGCTAGCACAGACACAGATTCCATCAACCGTTAGCCCCTTACATACAAATTAAACAAATGAACAAGCATAAGGATAAAACAAAAAAAAACTATTTTGATTGGTTGACTGGTAAAAAGAATGCACTATATGATACTTAAAAATTATGATAGACACTTTTAAGTTTTCTAATGGATTACCAAGACAATAACCAACTCATAATACTATGTCATATTGAATAAGGAGGCTGGTAACTTGCAAGGATTTTAATGAATTGTTCTGTTACGCAAATACTCTTGTGAAGAATTTTTACAGGCTTCAGTTGTTGTTTAGCAATTCTAAAGAAAATTCCTGAGATTTAGCACACAGAATAGAAACACAATTATCAGGTCACAGATTCAAAGAGAATGCCTATAAATATACTAGCTGCCTTGCTATTTTGCTGAATAGCAAGACAGCTTCATTTTTTGAATTAATACAAATACAGTATTACAATTAATTAGCTAAAAAATGGTTTTCATATACTGATGTTCTTTACATAAAAGTATACCCCTGTACTTACAAATAATAGCCTATATTCACAGGTGTGATTTTGGGAGGGGCATGTGGCTCCCAGTTTTACTAACTGCAAGTTTTTAAATTTTTTAACAGAAAAAATACAAAATTGCATAAAAATGCTAGTATTCTAAACGAGAATCACAAAATTATTGCATACCTATTTATCTGTATAATTATATTACATCTAGGCCTATATGAATTTTATGTCACCATGTTTCACCAATTAATTCTGGATTTGCCCCTATTTCCAAGTAGAAATAAATCAGTAATAATCTATCAATTTAATCTAAACTAAAAGTATTAAATAATGGTAATTTTAACTCATTTACAGTACATAATGAACATACTATACAGTAGAATAGTTAACAGTAATTATTGTAATATTAGATTATTTATATTTGTAAACTTATAATTGATTGACAGTGTTGATAACATCTGTCATTATCAGACTATGATTGACAGGACATAGAATGTCATAAGTAAATATCTAGTTTCCTTTTCACTTTGTAGGTATCTGTATTTTCTGCAACTGAAGAGTGACATCATAGAAGGGATACTGCCATGCAGTCTGGAGCAAGCCATTCTACTTGCCAGCTATGCTGTTCAAGGTATTGCAATAAATACATTTTATTACAATTAAAACTAGGTCATGAATGTCAAAAATGCTTATGAAAGCCCCATAATGAGGAATTATCTTTAGACATAAGAAAAAAAATCTTTAAAAAGAAAGAAAAAATAAAAAATATTGTTGCAGTGACAGAAATTGAACCCAGGACCCTGGTATTGGAAGGCAAGCATCTTAACCAACAAGCTATTCTACTGCTATCCATTCAAATAACACCAATTTAAGATGAACTGTTTGCGTTGATGTAAACAAAGATTAATATTAGAATTTACATATTTAAGTAACTTGATGAATAGGATTTTTTAAGTTATTAACTTTCATTTGAAAGAGCGAAAAAATATGATTTTCTTGAGAATATAAACAGATCAGTGTTTTATCTAGGAGCTGATGGAGCGCGAAGGTGAAGTTGGGGGCTCGGTGATAGGTAAGGGGGTTGTTAGGTCACAAAATAAGTCATTTTAAGGTCATATCAAAAATGTGTGTACTGTAGGCCTGCTGTTGGCCTGCGGTACTGTATGTAAGTAAGAGATAACATAATTGTTCAGATCTGTGTCTAGTCTGACCCAGTTAATTGGACAATGTACCGTAGGCCTGCTGCACTGTATGTAAGTAAGAGGTAACATAATTGTTCAGATCTGTGTCTGGTCTGACCCAGTTAAATGGACAATGCAATGTTTTTATTATATTTTACCAGACAGTATTATGTTCCTTTTTAGTTGATTATTTGCATGACTTCAGCACTTTTAAATTGCTATTGATGGTGTTGAAAATTCTATATATGTTATCCCTGAAGAAAAGGGTTTTTTTTAACTGTATGGGACCACATTGTGTTCAGTTACTTTGTGTGTCTGGGAAACTAATAAAAGAATATAAATATTTGAATTGTAGCACAATACAATTAATGGAATGGCTTCAAGTTCGTGGTAGGCATTAATAAGGATATGGATATGTCTGACTAATGAGGCTATCATCATAGCCATCAAGATGGTAAATACAGGATGTTTGTATTTGACTTACAAAAAAGGATGATATTGACTTATTATAATTATGTCAACCACTACAATTTCTAGACCCAGCCAATTACAAATATTCCCTTAAAATAAAATAAAAAATGAAGTAAAAAATAAAATCAAAATGTGTGATGATTACAATTGTGTACCATACAAATTATGATTACCCCATGCTAGCTTACGAAAACGTATAATTACATTATGGGTATTTTTTCTGACTACCAAATTATTTAATTGACACCTTAGTGAACTATTGTTTCTCTTATTGTTTTTTCATTGTTTCTTTTTATTGTTTAAGGACAAAACAAATTTGTCTTAAGATGGGCTTTAAGATTCATTGGAAAGCGAATTAAAAGCTTATTCATCAATGCTACTGGTATTATTGACCTCAAAATACTTCGCCCAGTTTAATCAGCTTGATAGGATAGATCAATCCTTAGTTTGTTTGATAAATTACTTGCAAATTCAGGAATATTTGTTTGGGATTAAAGGTCGTCTGAGTAATGACTCATAAAGTGCCGCATATTCCCTTTTGTTTTTGTAATTTCACGGTGTGCCAAACCAGAATGGTTGATTGCTTGGTCGTATGCGATTTTCAGCTACGACGAGACAATCAATGATGTTTACATTGGATTCCAATGTTTCAACTAGTGTTGATCTGAATTTAAATTGGTTTCCAATTTCTTGACATTTTAAACTTGATTTAATCCAACTATTCAGATTTTAAAGTATATTTTTGGTTGATTAGATTTAGGTTTTAATTGATATGACCTCATTAGGTTTTAGTAGATTAATAATTATGAGTTCATTACACCTAAGATCACAACTCAACAGGTACGGTATGTACATCAGGTGTACGGCTTTCATAACAGCATTTTACTACACCAGGTAAAATACTTATTTCTCATGTTATTAAGGTGCGTTTTTATACTTGTAATTGTAAACATTTTAAAATCTTTAAGGATCCTTAATTTTATAATTAAGGACAATTTAAAGCCAAGCTCTGGAGAGAAAAATTTGCTGTACAGAATTGTGAATATTTAAAAACATGGGGAAAAGGTGAAAAAATGGTGGTTATGCCCCTTTTCTCCCAGTTTTTAAATATTCAAAATTCTTTATCTCATTAACCATTCCAGAGTTTTTTGTCAAAATACTTTTTGTGTGTTAAGAAAGTCAGTTGTACAACATATAACAAAAATTTCCTTCAAAAGCAGCTAAATACTTTTAAATTATTATAAGCAATGTTATTACATTAGTTCTTAGCGTAAGTAGATTTTTCTCAGGTATATGATAACAAGTTCCTTTAGTTAGTGTGTTCAAATATGATTAAATTATTAAGGTGGAATAGTTTTCTTCACCCCAGGTATGTTTTCTAGGAAATCAGAGTGTTAGTGGGTTGTCATAATTTGAGATGCAACATCTGTTGGCTTTAGCATTAGTAAGGGTCATAAGACTGACAGTGTCATAATTATTGTTTGTTGTCCTTTCCAAGAAGCCACATATAGTATAGTCATTCCTTATTACTACTGTAAATGCCACTCTGAGTTGATGGAATTTCAATCCCACTCAATATCCTGGTTGTGTTTTGTTTTATTGGTCAATTAATTCATTTTCTTTAGAGGATTCAATTACTTTACATACACTAAATTTATGGGAATTTGTTGGTGGAATTCATTTTCTCTAACCTGATAGCCTTTTATCATAGTATTTTATTTCAAAATCTCCATATGGTTTAAGTAGGCCTTGCCCCTTGCACCAGAATGAAATGTTGCCTTAAAGTACAGTATAAATCAATTCTTAAAGTTATTGAAGTATTAAAAATTAAGGAACAATTGTCAATATGGAAAATTAAATTATAGACAGCTGAAATATATTCAATATTTAATTTTTATATAAAGTTTATTTCCACATCATCAACACAAAATTAATGTGGTAATATGTATTTTCAGTACATACCTCAAGTGACATATCTGATCGAAGTATTAAAAATTAAGGAACAATTGTCGATATGGAAAATTAAATTATAGACATCTGAAATATATTCAATATTTAATTTTAATATAAAGTTTATTTCCACATCATCAACACAAAATTAATGTGGTAATATGTATTTTCAGTACATACCTCAAGTGACATATCTGATCGATATCCTAAAATGATTCTAATGGAAGGTACAGTAGCCTTATATGAACCTTAAGGATGGTAGCCTAACAATACATATCTTTTTCTGTCTTCAGCTGAGTTTGGAGATTACGATCCTGATCATCACACGTTGGAATTTCTGAAAGACTATATTCTTCTGCCAAAGGTATACACACTAGATAAATCTCTAGTATACCATATAAATTGTTAAGAAAATTAATTAAAATTAATTAATAGTTGTGGTGATAATTGTTGAGTGCTTAACTTTTGGCCTGAAATGTATGGGTTCATTCACACCGGCATACATAAACATCTCATAAATGAAATATTTTAAATCTCCATACATTACTTCGACTTGGTGATGTATAAATGAAGGTGAAAATTTATGAGAAAAGTTAAAATAATTGAAAGAAATAAGTGAGTTTCTTATTTATTCTGACATATTTATCATTCTTTTTGGGTGATGTATAAATGAAGGTGAAAATATATGAGAAAAGTTAAAATAATTGAAAGAAATAAGTGAGTTTCTTATTTATTCTGACATATTTATTATTCTTTTTGACTTATTTATTATTTCCTTATCTGTACATCAGAACATAAAGATTGATAACGAGGTCCAATCTGAGTTACTACAGGAAGTAATCAACACGTATAAACAGCATATTGGCCTGTCGCCCGATATGGCAGAACTTGCCTACATATCAGAATCGTCGCAGCTTGATGGCTACGGACAGGAATCGTATCCTGCAAAGGTACGACTTTCTTAACATCATTTTAAATCTTGTAGAGATATTATTTCTAGAGGCATTTTACCCTTTGGAATTACTTTGTGATTATTTATATGCATCAATAAATACTTGTGTTTATATAAGTATTTATCATTGTATGAATTGCATGTATTTTTTAATTCAATATTTTTATTAGGGAACCTTACTTAAAAAAAAATGCTAGTAATTGATACAAAAAATATATAGAATTATAATACACCCTCACAATCAATCAATCTGACATAATTCTTTTTCTTTTTTATGTAAATACTATTTCTGATTACCTTTTTATTTTAATACATTTTGTTAACACTATGTTAAGGTTGTTTGACAAAGTGATTCAATAATTGTCAAACTTTTTTTACTACTTTGAAGGTTGGCAGGATAATTACAAATGATTTTGTAGAGCGTTAATGACAGTTTTTGTATGCACAAACTCCGCCCACTAGACATATTTTTCTGGCCAGTAATCATAAATGATGTAAAACAAATTTTGATGTAGTAGGTAGTTCACGGTCATTCTCACAATAGTATGTTTTGTTCAGCATGATTCAGGATTAGACAGGCTCTGTTGATTTTTTATTCTAATAATCTTTCATTTATGATATGGTTTTCGTAGGATGAGCACGGATATGATTTGCTACTTGGTGCTTCATTCATTGGAATATTTGTCAAACACTTGAATGGACAACCAACTGTTTACTTCAAGTAAGTTCTAACATATTAATTTTTTGACATATGTCTTAAAAATTATTCTGATAAAATAACTAAAATTATATTTTTTGGAATTACAAACTAGTATTGAATTTCAGTATGTTTTATATATTTTGCCAGTGGAAAAAGAATATCCATTTTACTTGTGTTCAGTGGACAAATAAAGTTTGATTTTGATATGATGTAATGAGCAAGTTCCAAGTGAAGTAAAGAAGACGTTTTTAAAAATCTCTCTTAATGGCAGTACTAACTGGAGACATTTCTTAAAATATTCTTCAGTGAAAAATTACCATAAGTTTGGCTGGTTAATAGTCATACAAGCAAATTTAAACAGCTCGTACCAAGTGCTTGAAATACTGAAGTAATCAGATTTCCATTCTCATTGTAAACCAAGTAGGATATAAGTGATCACTCACCATTCAAGGATGTACTAAATTGTTAAAATCTACTGGTTACTGATGAGAAATATTTTGAGTTTTTATTCACATAACAAAAGAATAAGTACTACTGATAGTCAACAATGTACACGGTTTTTAAATGATTGTTGAGCTTCAGTGTATTATGGTAGAAGCGTTCTTGTTGCAGCCCTGGGTAACAACAATTCTACAACCACCACAAAGGTACAAAAGGTATATTGTCATTGTTTCTGTGGACACGTGAAGATTACCATGGTCATCATGCCTAGAGTATTCCAGAGTGGGTCTTTTCTAGGCCTGCCCTTACAGTCATATAATTACTCATAATTATAAATAAATTTAATTGTAATTAATCGTGGTTAATCAGTCATTAATGGTAATTAACACCTAAAACATATATTTCCATCTAAAGACTATAAAGTTCTTATGGCTTTAAACATGTTATAATGTTACAAATGTTTATTGCATTAATAGAAAATGAGAAGTAATAATAATTTTAATCTATTTTTGCAATGTTTTGTTCTTAATTTTCTGTTCACATCTTTATAAGTTTCACTCACTTGTTCCTGCTAGTTTTTCAAAACAAAAATGTTCAGTGAGAAAAGCAGTAAAAATTTTATGAATTCTCAGTATGAATCCTAGGCTTATGTAAAATACCTGTGGTTTGAGAAATTGCCTAACAGAAAACCACATGCCTGCATTCTCATGTGATTATATATTATTTAGTTCAAATAGAAAATTCTATAGAGGTTGATAATATAATGAGTATTTGTGGTGACAATGCAGAATTATAATTTATGAACGAATATTTACTGTATGGAATATGTTACAAAACCATTAAGCCAATATTTGCCAAGTTGGTAGTCAAAAGGTAAAGGACACTGCAGCTGCAGGTGAACAAATTATACTGCCAAATAAGACAAAACGTCCCCTTGCATAGCTATTTTTGGTGCCACCTTTATAAAATACCGAATAAAATTCTGCAGAAATGTGAACATCCTGAATAGCCAATGTGTATGTGCATTCTTTCTCATTTACAAAAAAAAAAATTGGATATGAAACAAATTTTGATTGGCCTAAAATGTATATAATAGAAGGCATGTGGATGAAGTGACAGTTTACAAGATTTGGAAATGACATGTAATATTAAGTATTATTTCCCCATGCCATTCCCATGTGATGTCTGTGAGTAGTTTCTTTATTCAAATGAAAGGCATGTCTTCAATAATTATTATGAACATTTTTGCAAAGGTATGTTAGAACAAACATGTGATTATAGAAGAGAAAAAAATTATTATGCCATGCATACACAAGTACACTATTTCTATAAAAGAATATTTAATTCCGCATTATAAAAATTCCAGTGGTTTATTACAAGTGGTTCATTTATAAAAGATTGTTGATTTCCATTTCCACCCACAAGTTAGTAGCATAGATATAATATAATAGTTAATCTAAAGTATCATCCTTATATATTATGTTTTTGATTAATAATAATAACTCTTTTAGCTTTATTTTTGAAATTTGATTTATCAGTGGTTGGTGTGAGTTATTTAATCATAAGTGACCTAATGTGTGCTTCTTACTTACTCTAACTTGTAAAAGATTTTGAGGGATATTTCTGCTAAGCCCTGCAAAGCCCTGTTGCAAAGGGCTCATAAAATGACAACGTATATATACTTTACTGTACATGGGTGTTTCTGGGGTAGGTGCATATTCCCAGCCCTGTTTTGATTGGTCAGTTGTTTAGTTTGATTTACATTTTGGAAAGGTCAATTAAGAATTATTAATTTTTAAGAAATTTATGAGGTGAAATGAGGTAATATATCAAGCTAGAAAACTGTATCTGATGTTTTAATTGATTATTATGACAGTTTCTTTGTTCATTAATACACTTAAAAATTATAATAAAGAAGAAAAGAAATATACGACTAGTCCCCAAAGGCCTGACATACATACATAATCACGTATAATTTGAAGAAATGCTTGCTGTCTTGAGCAATATTAAGACAATTATACTCTGTGGTGTACTGGAATAGATTTAGCAAGTTTCCAAGTAGTTAAGGCCGCCACTTCTTAGCATACGCCAATGCTAATCTTCTGCAGATGTACTATAAATCATAACGCATGACTCATTCAACTCGTACAAGATCCGAGATACATTTTATGTCGTTGAAATTGGAGGACTGGAAGAAATACTCTAGATCATCAATATTTTCAGTATGTTTTTGCACATTAAAGTTAATTTTAGCCAGTCACTGTCGTTGATAGAAGTAGCCATTGAAGAAATAATGTTGGCTTGGCTAGTCACTGGCTACAGGTAGTAGACAGTTGGGCTACTAATTTCTTTTGGTTTATAATAAGGTCTAATCTGGGCAATTAAAGTCAGGATATGTGTAAAATATTTGTTGTATTAAAATTAAAAATTTAACATAGCATCTCACTAAAACATTTCATGGCCTTAAAATAATAGGAATGATCTTTGCCCTATTGACATGTTATCGTACTGAATGCTCACTACGTTCCCAGTAATGATAACACCAGTAATGATAACACGTCACGTAGGGCAAAAACATAATTCCTATTACTAATCCACTGAGGCAAACGCCATCGGAGTGGCCCTAAATTACTTTGGCATATGTGTTCAATCCATTTTTCCATAAAAACTCAAATGTTATAAGTTACATTGGTTATGAATTTTAAAATAAATATTTATTTAATAAAATTCAATGATTTGTATTATTACATTGTGTTATTGTTTTCATTGTTTTGTATTTTCAGATGGAATGATATTGTCAATGTGACTCATTCAAAGAGGTTATTTGGTATCGAAAAGGCTCACAGTGAACAGACGATATTCTTTCAGATGGAGGATGCGGAGAATGCTAAATATGTGTGGAGGATGTGCAACACACAGCATCAGTTTTATAGAATTAATCTAGAGAATCAGAGGTAAAAATGGGGAAAAAAATAAAATATTCATTGAAATGAACATTTAAAAACATTAATAAAGTTAAGTCCAAGTGTATTCAAAATCCCATTCACAGCTTCCTTAAGAAGCTGAATTGTATTGATTTTTACATAAA